CGTTGAAGGCCGCCGCGTTGGCATGCACAGAAAACAAATCGTTCGCGGAGGCTGGCTGACGCGCGGGGGTGGCGCGCGCCACCCGCGCGCGCGGGGGGTGCTGCATTGACCAAGAGAAACGTCATGCTGAAATTATTAGATAGCACGTGCGCGCCCGTCCATCACCCGCATGAAACGAAGTGGCGCGCGCCGCCGCCCGCCGAATACGCACGCGGCCCCTTGAGGACGCCCGCGGGGCACCGCGCGCTCAGAACGCAGAAGAGGCCAACGCATGGAAGCGCGCAAAGGCCCGCCAGAAACAACACAAACCCCATGTGAGCTCACTGTCCTGGGATAGGGCCCACTGGAATCCGCCGCGCGTAGATTGCGAACCTGCGAAGTTCCCCTGGGGCCAGTCAGTGGGCCCAGCATGGATTTGACGCGCGCAATGAACTCATCCTTGGGAAGGGCCCAACCACGTGCAGTTGCGAGTTCAGTAATTGTGCCTACCCCTGCGGCGACGGATTTTTTGCGGGGCCACGAAACGAGCGAAGGGTGTGCCGAAACTGGCGGCGGCGCCATGCGAACTTCTAATTGGCGGCATTGGGTTGAGCTCCCTATGGGGCCACGTCGGGCGTGAGGGGTGCGCCGAAATGGGGCGGCGGTGCCATGCGAACTTTCCAACTGGCGCCTTCGGCTGGGTTCCCTATGGCGCCACGGAGCGCGTGAGGCGTGTGCCGACATGGGGCGGCGGTGCCATGCGAACTTCACCAGCGCGGCATTAGGTGGAGCTCCGTATGGGGCCGCGAAGCGTATGGTGGGCGCGCCGAAATGGGACGGCGGTGCCGTGCAATTTTTCCGCTGGTGCTTTAGATGGGGCCCCCATGGGGCCGCGAAGCGTGCGAGGGGAGTGCCGACATCGCTCGGCAGCGTCATGCGACCTTTTCCCACTTGGGCCTTCGGTGGGGCTCCCTATGGGGCCACGAAGCGCGCGAGGGGCGTGCCGCAATGCGGCGGCGGTGCCATGCGAATCCCCCCGCTGGGGCCGCAAGTGGGCCCCCCCCCATGGGGCCGCGAAGCGTGCGAGGGCGTGCCGTAATGGGGCGGCGGCGTCGTGCGAATTTCCCCGTTGGCGCCTTAGGCGCGGCTCCTATGGGGCCGCGACCCGCGCGGGGGGCGCGCCGAAGTGGGGCGGCTGTGCCGCGCTAACTTTTCCACTGGGGCCTCAGGCGGGCCCCCTATGGCGCTGCGAAGCGCGCGGGGGATGAGGCGGCGGCGCCGTGCGACCTTTCCCACTGGGGCATTCGGCGGAGCCCCCAATGGGGCCGCGAAGCGCGTGAGGGGCGTGCCGAAATGACGCGGCTGTGCCACGCTGGTTTTCCCAGTGCGGCCGTGGGTGGGGACCCCTGAGGGGCCGCGGAACGCGCGTGGGGCGTGTCGAAGTGGAGCTGCTGCGCCATGCTAGCGTTCCCACTGCGGCCTTATGCGGAGCCCCCCCCCCCCCCTATGGGGGCGCGAAGCGTTTGAGGGGCACGCCGAAACAGACAGATACACGCGGATTGCGCGGCGCGGGCAAGGATGGGAGGAGAGGAGGGGGGGGGGGGAGTGAGGAACGCGGGGCGCTGTCTCTTCAAAACGAGGGCCCGACTCCGCGGGATGGCTGGGGAAAGAGCACGCGACGTCACAGTTGGTCGCCGCGGTCTCGCGCGGGAATGTATATCACCCAAAACGCCACCCACGTGCCCTTAGGACGATCTGCGTTTGGCTAAGACGACGCGTTCGTCCACGTGGCACCCCAGCGGGCGCCCGCGCGGGCCCGCGCAGGGCCCCGCGGGGGAACGGTTGGAATGCAGCGGGTGTCTTTCCAGAGCTCCAAAGTCCAGCGGGTGCACCGTTGCGTTCGGGCGGTTGGCGGCGCGCTCGGTGCGGCGTCTAGCTGGGCACCCACGAAAGCGCGGGTTTCACCTTGTGCGCGCGGCGAACATGTCGGGCCCATCCAGGGGCCAGGCAGGGCGTGGGGCCGTGCCCGCAGAGAGGCGATTGGGCTGGTTTCGGGCGTGCAACGGCGCGCGCGGCGCGGCGCCTCGCTCGGGCTATATGGGGCATTGGGCGCGTCGCGGCGCGCGCGGCGCAGCGCCTTCGATTTGCCATGATGGGGGCGCGCGCGTTCGTTGGCGCCCGCGGCGCGCGCCCCGCTCTGATCTCGGATCGGAAGCATCGGCTCGCCACCGCCGCCCAAACTCCGAAGATGCACGCTTGGAAGGGGTGGCGGGCAGACGCAAGTCGGAATCCCACCAGCCCTCTGGGCGTATGTGGTTTAGCGAGTGGTGCGTCTCTCTGCCAAAACCTCCTTCCCTTGTTCGGGGGGGGCGGGGGGGAGGGGGTGCACCACTCCCCCTACCCCCTGCCCTGGATCTGGGAGGGGGAGGGGGGAGGGGGCTCGACGCATTAGAGCGCCCAATATGACCCAAGGTTGCTCCAAGGGTGCCCCAGAAGATAGCCCAAGATGGCTTCCAAGATGGCCCAATATAGCTCAAGGTGGCCCAAGATAGCTTTCGACGCACATCCAAGATGCTTCGAGACGGCCCTGGGAGGGTTTCCAATGTCTTTCGCGTCCTTCAATTGCCCTCCCAAGAGGCCCGCATGATTCCAAAACCTAGGGACAACCAATGCTGCTTGCCTTCTCGCACGTTCGCCCCCGACGTGCTCTCAAGGCGCCAATAGGCCGCGACATTGCCCCAGGGAGCCCAAGGTGCCCAAGGCTGCCCAAGGCGCCCCCCCCCCCCACCCCACCCCACCACGCACACACGGGCGCCCAAGAACGCCCCAAGAAAAGCTGCAACAGTCGGCCCCAATGCGCTTCTGTGGGTTTCCAAGGGGTGCGGTCCGAATTAACGCAGCCCTCTTGCGTTTCAGCCGCAGCCCCCAAGATGGCCCGACGAGGCCCCCCGAGACGCCCAGAAAGAGCCCCAAGAGGGCCCAGGGGCCCACACAAAAACAAGCCCCAAGAGGGCCCACGAGGGCCCCCAAAAAAACACCCAGAGCGCCCCACGGCGGCTACACAAGGCATCCGAGACAACGCTCCCGAGGCGGTTGTTGCACACCCTGCTGGCCACCAACACCGCCAGCACCAGCAGCAGCACCACCAGCACCACCAGCAACATCAGCACCACGCCAAACACCAGCAACAGCATCCGCAGCAACACCAACAGCAACGTCAGCAGCATCACCAGCAGCACGAGAACCAGCAACACCAGCCGCAACATCAGCAGCACCAGCAGCAGCAGCAGCATCAGCGACAGCCCAACCACGACCAGCAATAGCACCAGCAGCAGCATCAGCATCACCAGCAGCGCAAGCACAGCAGCAACAGCAGCACCACCAGCAGCAGCAACAGCACGAGCAGCAGCACCAGACGGATCGGTCCCGAGCTTGACCCATCGAGGTGACCGCGGGTTGGTCCCAAGTTTTACCCCCCGAGGTGACCACGGATCGGTCCTGAGCTTTACCCCCCGAGGTGACCACGGATCGGCCCCGAGTTGTACCACTCGAGGTGGCCACGGATCGGTCCCGAACGTTACCCCTCGAAGTGACCACGGACCCATCCCGAGCTTTACCACACGAAGTGGCTTCGATTCGGTCCCGAGCGTTACCCGCCGAGGTGACCACAGATCCGTCCCGAGCTTTTTACCCCTCGAGGTGACCTCGGATGGGCCCCGAGCTGTACCCCTCGAGGTGACCTTGGATCGGTCCCGAACTTTGCCCACCGATGTGCCAGGATGGCCCCAAGATGCGGGTGAAGCACCAGCAGCAACCAGACAGCACCGACAACAGCACCACCAGCATCACAAACATAACCAGCAACAGCACAAGCGGCACCCCAGCATAATGAGAAACCACGCAAGCCAGCCAGCAACACCAGCAGCGGCACCAGCAGCGGCGCCACCAGCACCATGAGCAACACCACCAGCACCACCGCCAGCAGAAGCACCGCCAATCTGCGCTTCCAGGGCTCTCCCACTGTACTGCTGTGGCCCGTGATACCGCCGTGGCATGGGAAACTATATTAAGTCACAAACTGTATGTTCCAGCTGGTTTTGCGCCCCTTCAGCGCGCCTCCGAAACGGCTGTGTGACTGCGTCCTTCCAAGAATCATTGGCTAACCAACTCACTTGGCAATCGTTTCTGGGTGGGCTGGTGGGGGCACGCGAAGCGTCAACATGTTTTGCCATGTCTCATGAGGGGCCCCTTGGGCCTTGGGGCAATATTGGAGGCCTCTTGGGATGTCCTTGTGGGGCACCCTGGCGGCCTCTCAGGCCGTCGCACGGCAACCCTGCGCCATTTTGGGTCTCGTTCGGGCCGTTCCCAGGCCCTCCTGAAGAACATCTTGGGTCGGATTGGCTGCGCCTGCGGCCGTATTGCGGCCAGATTGGGTTTTCGTGAGTACCGTGGGCCTTCATGGGCCGCTTGTCCTAGTCGAGCCGACGCTTCTCTGAGCCCGTCGGGTGTCACTAGTCAACTCCTGGTGCAATCACTGGTATGGTAATGCAGTTAGCAGCGCAAGCATTGATTGGGTGGTACAGCTAGCGGTCGCATAACTCGGACCCGCCGCAGCGCCTATATGGGCGCCGAGGCGTGTTGGACAGGCTCCGATGCCCCTCCCTGGCGGACCCAACGCCGACCCCAGACGCCCTGCAACGGCCTCAAGACGACCCGCCGCGTCCCCAGACATGCCCCCACGACGGCCGTCACGGCCGCCACTCTGGCCCAGGAAGGCCGCGGCTCCCCCTGCCCCCACCCCGCACCCCCGAGGACGACACCTCTGCGTTGTAAGTCCCGCGGCGGGGGCGACGTCGGATCACCGTGAGGTGCAGATCAAAAAAACAATGGCGCCCAGCAGCCCTCTCGCGCAAATGCAACAGAAAATATCAACGTCAAGCAAACATCATACTTCACCAACGTGGCGTGAAACACATGTGTTTTCAAGGGCGTGTGGCACGCAACTCAGTACACGGATATGTTTATTTCTCTGGCTCGGACTCTTCGTCATCCCGTTGCTGGCGCTCCTGCTCGAAGATGTCCTGGGACCCTGCGAGCCCTCTGAGGATATCCCTGCCGTGCCTCCTGGTAGCATGGTCGATCGTCTTATACAAGTTCTTGTGGTCCCAGGCGTCGCTGCACTCGTCAGCCGAGAGCAGCCAGGCCATGAGGTAGCCCAACGGCCTGCCTTGACCCTGCGCCCGCTTGGTCGCCCCCTTGCCACGGCGAGACACTCGGCACCGTCTCCCGTGTGCTTCACACTCGCCGCAGTACGCATAGATCTCGTTGTTCTTATAGGCGACGATAGAGCCGCCTCCAAGATGACCAGGCAGCCTGAAACTACACACGGCCTGTTCTCGCAGGTGTGGCGGATGCTCGACGCCGAGGTCGGGGGGCTCGTCGGCGCCAGCGTCCTCCGACGAACTCGAACTCGCCGTAGACGAGCTGTCAGACGACAGCTGCTCTCGACTGCCGTCGGAGCCATCCACCGCGGCCTCGACGATGGCCTGCTCCTCCTCGACGCCCGAGGCCCCCACCTCGCCGCCGCCGCCGTCAGCAGAGCCGCCGCCCTCAGTGGCAGCGTCGCCCCCATCCGAGTCGCCCCCACCGCCATCGTCGGAGCTCTCGTCGCACGCGGCCTTGAAGCGGTCGGCCAGAGCGTGCCACTGGCTGATCCGTCGACGCCTCGGCGCGGCGGGGTCCCAGATGACATGCGTCTCGCCGTCGTGGACGGCTCTCCTGGGGGAAGGAAACGTGCGGAGTGGCTGACGCGCCCGTCCGCTCACCCCCTGACGGTGCTGACGCCTAGGGGGGCGTTCAGTTTTTCGAGTCGCGCCCAGCCGACGATGCACCGTGGACCGATTGATCGGCGGCGAGGGGTTGGACGGGCTACGCATGGGTAGTGCACAGCCAAGTTACCGAATGGAATTAGCAACGCCAGCCAGCGCGATGTCCTGGGCCATCGGGGGGCCCTGTCCAGAACCGCCCTCCGCCTCCAACGCCGCTGGATGCCATCGTCGGGCCGAGACCCCCAGGAACACTTCGAGCAAACCAAGAGTTGCGCCCTTCTCACGCCCGCTGAAAAAAAGAGTCCGAACAGAAACACTGCCTCCCAGATGGCATCCAGACGCGCCCCGAGGCCCCGAGGAGGCCGTTGACCATCCGATACTCCCGCAAGACATCCCCACCATCGCCAGGACCCCAAACACTGACGGTGCAAGCACTGATTGGGGCATTCAGCGGCGTGTGGCGGTGAGAGAACCACCACTGCAAGCAGAGGGAAGGTGAGGGCGTGCCCCCCTGACATGCATTAACAGCCCGTGTTGTCCCCTTCTGCAGTCGGGGCTCCACGGCGCCCACGACGGTGTCGTTCTCGATCAGCTCGAAGTGCGCCAGCAGCCAACGCTTCGACAAGTCGAAGATCTCGCAAGCAGCCCACGCATCAAGACTCCTAGGCAACGCCTCCAACTCCACCAAGCGTTCTCTGAGCTTCTGGTCGCCGTCCAAGTCGACGACGTACCCTGGCGTCCGCATGGGGACGTAGAAGGGCTCGAACGGGCTCCAGCTGTGAAAGCCGACGTGCATGAACGCGTAGAGGGCACCATCGTCGCACTCGGCAGCGGGGCCGCCATCCCCATCTTGCCGAACAGCCAAGCCGATGAAACAGCACACGATGAACCCTGAATCAACGTTGGACCGAAGAGCTCCAGGGCGGTATAAGCGCCGCGTGGTCTTCTCGAGGTTAGCCCTCAACTTTACCAGCGACGCCGACTCAGGGCAGCATATGCAACGGCGAGCCTCCCAGCACCTCCTGTGGACAGGTGGCTCGTCGAACACCTCGCAGTCCTTGTGCAATATTGTGCGGGACAGCCCATGCCAGAAGCGATGCAAGAGACCTCGCAACGCGCGCACTGGGCGGGTCTGCCCCGTCAGCGCAGCGAGTCGCTGCGCCCGCTGGTAGACGGAGTCGTCGGCCCACTCGGCGTGCAAGAAATTCTGGGCGCCTTCCTCGGACTGGGCGTTCCTCGGGTCGGCAACGAATAAGCTGGCGTCAGCGGCATGCGGCACCACGCGGCCCGCTGCCAGGGCCAGCTCCCGAGCGCCCGCGCGGCCGCCCCTCTCGGCGAAATCGACCACCTGCTGCTCGGCAACCTCCAACGAGCTGCAAATCGCCCCCACCAAGACACGATTACCCCGACCCCCCCACGGAGTGCAGACCGAACCGAAAAACAACAAACACCAACGCTCCAATGTAAACAACACCGAGGAACACGTCGGTGGGGATCCGTGTCTGGTTGGGGAGGGTCGGTTTGGAGCTCGTCCGGGCCTTCTCCTCACGCCGCTCCGAGTCCGAAGAGGTCCGCAGAGCACGCTTGATGACTGCAAGGGCGTCTGCGCTCGGCCTGGCGGCCAACGCACCCGACGGGGCAGCCGCAGCAACGGCAGCGAGGGTGCGCCCATGGGCCTCCAGGGCGCGGTGCAGGGGAGCAGGCTGACCAACTCTGCCATCGGCGAGCTGAGCGCGGACGTGCATCGCGGCAACTGCCTCTGCGTCGGCGCGGGCCCTGGCCCGCTGCATCTCGCGCCGACCCATCGGAAAAGGCCTCCTCCCCTCGTTGACCTCAGCGTTGGCCTCATCCGCCTGCCGCTGGAGCTCGTCGATGTCGCCGTCGCCCAGCCTGCGGAACTTCGCCCACATCCCCGAGAAGCTGGGCTGTGCGTTGCCTTCCTGCCCGCACTCACGACTGAAGAAGACGTCGGCAGCCCGCAGCTTCCGCCTCCGCGGGGCGCTCGGGGCGCCAGCAGCGCGGGCTTGTTGCTGGCATGGCTGGTCGGCCGCAGGGCTGCTTGAGCTGGGTGTCCGAAGCTGCCGAAAGGCTCTCGCCAGCCTGCGGAACCCTTGGCCGATCCATTCGACGTTGATGCGGGAAAGGCTGGCAACCCACGTGTTGACCGATCGTGAGGCGATGATGCGTCGCAAGACGCCTTGGCTCCACTCCTGCTTCACTGTGTCCTCATGGAGCAAGCTAGCCACGTGCATCAAGTCATGCCGCGCGTCTGCGATGACCCCGTGCCTGTGGTGCCTGCAGAACTGCAGCGACCAGGGGTCGAGCAAGCAATCCTTCTCGTCGAGAGCCGCCTGCATGGCATCGTCGCTGCGGATACCAGCAAACGTTTTATTCGGATACCATGTTTTCTCCAACTTGATAAGTGATGTCGTGCAGACGGCCTGAGATAGCAAGCGGAACGCAGTGCACTGCAACCTCAGAGTCCTGCATCGCAGCGGGATGCTCTCCCAATGAGCGGAGTCTGACATCAGAAAGAAAGCGTTGTCAACCAGACGAGTCTCCAACTCCACATCGTAAGCCTCCAGAACTTGATACATGAAGGTGCGGCCATGGTTGCCCTTCAACGCCTGGGATGCTGACGCTTTCTGTTTCAACTTCTTATGGTCACCACAAGAGTAGATCAGCCCACCGATGAAATCGCGGTGCAAGTTCATTGTTCTCAGCACGACGACGGCAGTGGATAGGACTTCATCTGGGCCAATAGTAGCTAAGTGCTTCGTGACGGTACCCCTATGGCTCTTCTGTTCGAGCTTTTTCAACTTTTCCTGCGCTGCGACGGTGAGATGCGGCACGCTCATGCCTGCTGGGTTCGAGTCCAGGACCGCTTGGAGCGCGCCCTTGCCGTCTAGGTCAACTCTCGGATGTGCGCCCTTCTTCTCGCTGGGATAATACACGGCAATCCACTTGCTCCATGCGTCGGCAAATATTCCCAAGCCCTGCAAAAGAATGAAATACTCCACTATCTCTTCGCACCCATTCCACTGGCGACAAGGAAACGAACGGGGTGCCCGCGGACATATGGCTGTGAGGAAATCGCGGGACAACAATTGCCGAACTCGTTCTTCAGATCTGCATCCGTTGGGGGAGTTCGCAACGTGAATGAGCCTGGAGCCGTCGATGCCGCCGTTGATCGTAGCCCATATGACGCTCCGCCTCCACACGTTCTTGCGGGTGCGGGGCGGCACCGCAAGGTCGAGGAGGTGCTCGAGACGTTTCACATGCACTGGCAAGCAGGCCCCCTCCGCCAGGTAAGTGAACCGACCAGGCGCAAGTATAAGTTTCTTAACCTCTCTCCGAAAAGTGTTGCTGTTGTAGGCCCTGCGCATCACAAGGACGAGATTGGTGTAGAACTCAATTTCTCTGGGCACTTTTTTCTTGAATGGCTCCTTCTTGCAATTTGACGCTCTATGGACGCAACACAGCTTATGTAGCAAGTGCATGTCGGGGTAGACACATGAGCGGTGACGCTCAGCTCTGATGAACGCCCTGTCTCCGTCTGTGGTCGTATTCCTCTGGTGGCGGGCGAACTTCTGAGCGATGCGGTCTGCGTCGGCCAGGCGGGTCTGGTGCAGCACGGCGTAATAACATTCTCCAGTTGTATTCGAAACCACTTGAACAGGGGTGCAGAGACTGAATGAGAAGCTGACGTATGAGGAAGGTTGGCCGCCGCTGCCCCGCTTCACAAACAACATGCCATAGTTCCATTCGGCGTTGACCAGTTTCGCCCTCTCGTCAGCATCGTCGGGCAAGTCGTTGTATATATTGCCTTCGTCGTTCGACCCCGTGGCGCCCCTCGCAGGCAACTGGGTCTCATCTGAGCGAACGGCCTCTGTGAAGACCAGGCCTACGGCGCCCCCAGCAATACAAGTATCGTACACATGCTCCATCAATCTCACGACGGAGTGGCGATCGTACAACACAGCAGCGGCAGCCGTTCTCTCTTCTACACTTTGAAACGCGTTCAATGATATGCCAAACATGTGTGCAGATGCAGAGGCTGACATCATAGTTGTTTTTTCTCTCAATACATACTCACCGATCTCCATGTGCGTCTGGTCCAACAACCCGTCTAAACTTATGTTGTTGGCGATTGCTTCGCCCACCTCTAACACCAGGCGTCTGAACGACTCTGCATCTGAAACCACGAAAGGGTTAATATTGGCTGGAGCTGCGCCGCCGATGCTGTCCTCGGGTCCGCCGTCGACGGGGTCGACCTGGCTCTCGAGCTGCTGCGCCCCAGACCCTGGCGGCGCCAAGATGCCGCCGTGGTGTGTCATCACATCTGCGAGCACAGCGTTCACGGTTCTCCGACGTGGACGGCCGCGCCCGCTTTGAGCGGGTGGGACCTCGACTATGGCATCCACGGGCGGGGCTTCGACGATCATGTCATCAGCAGCTATGGCGGCGGCGTCGGCGCCCTCGGGCGGGCCGTCCACGTCATCGTCGGTCGGAGATCCGAACAGTGACCAACCTGACAAGACTTCTGACGGGCCGCTGCTGCTCGACTCTCCGCCGAGATCTGAATCCAACAGTTGGCGACGCAGCTCCAGCCAGTCACCGCCCGTGCCACGCATCAAGGGCCCGAACCGCACTCACACATGAGTGAAGGCTGTGAAACAAACAAAAATGAAAGGCTTGTTTGAGCCAAAACGGTTACGGAAGCTCCCCCCGCCAAGGCTCTCCGAACAAGCCCCAGAGACACATTCGTAAAGTGCCCCGCACGTTCAATCCTATGGCGCTTCTGGTGGCCGCCATGAGTTCTTAACCTCGAATGGGCCCACGCAGATGAGATGGGGGGTGCGCCCGATACTCCTTCGCAATTCACTCTGTTATGACGCACCCGCTGGAGACAACCTCACAATTTGATCTGGGATTCGGCTCCCGCTCGAGACTGACGTCACCAGCACCAGCGAAAAACGCGCCAGGCACCCTACGGAGCGCGACGATACTTGTGAGAGGATGATGGCGGGGCCATCGTGAATGCATAAAAAGTATACAACGAAATGCCATACGGGTTCGGAGCGAACAGGAAGGGATAATATACACATTAGCACACGCATGTGGAGGACTCGCAGCCATGGTGGAGGACAACGCAAAGAAAGAGGAGGAGGAGAGGGAGGATATAGATGGTGGCGATGGTGATCACATGGATACCGCGAGTTTGGTTGTGGTTGCGGGGGGGGCGGGGTTTGGTTGCGGTCGCGGGGGGAGGCGGCAGCTGCGCCGATAGGGTCGCCGCAGCTGCGGCTGGCCCCATCGGCGCAGCTGCCGCCTCGTGGCACCTCTGCCCACGGGCATTTCGTGAGGGGCTATGTTTTGGGTTCGCTGTTTTGTAATCTGAATTCGTACATTTCGAATAAGATTTGCATAGTTTGGGCCTTTCTGCCCAGCGAGCTTACTGACGAGGCCAGGAAGTCTCAAAGGTGAGATGAAGGACGAGGCCAGCAAAAGGACAAACACAGGGAAGGAAATGGGCACAACATGGTGGCGCACGGGGCTCGGCCACCTTCGGCGTGGCAAGCGGGCACGCTACGCAGAACAATGTGCAACAAAGCGGTGTGGGCGAAACAAACAGCAGGGAAGGAAATGGTCACGAACCGGCCGCGCTCAGGGCGGTGAGGAAAAGTATCACGAAATGGCGGCGCACGGGGCTCGGCCACCTCTGGCGCGGCAAGCAGGCACGCTACGTAAAAGAAGGTGTGACAAAGCGGTGCGGGAGGCAAAACAGCAGGGAAGGAAATGGACACACAACGGCCGCGCACTTGGCGGCACGCCCCTCGCCCTCTTAGTCCTCGTGATGATCACCCTCTTCCTCTTCCTCCTCATCCTCCTCGCCTTCGCCTCCCCCTCCTCCCTCTTCTCCTCTTCTTCCTCCACCTCCTCCCCTCTCTCTCCCTTTCCGCTCTGCTCGTGCAAAGGGAGGGCGAGAGGAGGGATATCCGCTCAAGCTCGGTCTCCGGACCCCTCCCAGGGTCAAGCGCACGAGTTTCCCGAGCTGGGCCCAGCCGCGGCGACGAGGAAAGGCCCCCAGGGCCAGCGAGCCGTGAACCTCGAGGGGGGCAGGGGGGGGGCATCTTTCACCTCCGCCGAGCTTCCGCCCGGCAGAGGCGCAGCCGTTCCAGCCTTCCTCGGGAGCCTTGAGACGGGGGTCACTGCAAACGGGGGTCAGCCAGAGCGCCCGATCTTGCAGGATCCTGCGCGAACAGGGTTGCATTTACCCGGGTTTGGGTGCAGGATTTTGCAGGATCTTGCAGGATCCTTCGCACTGATCCAGGTTTGGGTGCAGGATCTTGCAGGACCTTGCAGGATTCTGCAAGGCCTGGCTGAACCGGGTCTGGATTGACCCGGGTCAGAAGATTCCCGAGTTCCGCCGTCCCTTCGCGCGCTCAGTCTTTCTCCATGCGCGGCTCCAGGGAATCAAGGGGCCCGGGCTCGGTGTGCCGAATCGGGCGCATGTACGCCATTCGGACTGTGCCGCGGGGGACAGCGGTAGAGCTCCCTACGGGGCTACGAAGCGTGTGAGAGAGGTGTGCCGAATCGGGTGCGTGTGCACCATGCGAACTGTGTCACTGAGGCCTTCGGTGGAGTCCCCTATGGGGCCATGAAACGTTTGAGGGTATGCCGAATCGGGTGCGGGTATGCCATGCGGATTGTGCCACCGGATCTTTCGGTGGAGCTCCCTTTGGGGCCTGTGCCACCGGAGCTTTCGGTGGAGTTCCCTTTGGGACCACGAAGCGTATGAGGGTTGTGCTGAAACCGGGGTGACGCCCATATGCGAACTGTGCCTTTAGGGCCTTACGGTGGAGCCCCTTTATGGGCCGCGAAGCGTGTGAGGGGTGTGCCGACATGGGGGTGACGCCCACATGCGAACTGCGCCACTGGGGCCTTTGGTGGAGCTCTGTATGGGCCACGAAGCGTGTGAGGGGTGTGCCGAAACGCGGGTGACGCACACATGCGAACTGCGCCAGACCTGAGTTGGAGCTCCGTATGGGGCCACAGAACGTGTGAGGGGTGTGCCACAATGGTTGACATGCGCAGGGCCGAGGCAGGGCTGGGAGGAGAGAGGAGGCGGGAGGAAGGAGGTGGGACGCGGGGCGCTGTTTCTTCGAAACGAGGACCCAACACCTCAGGATGGTTGGACATTGAAGCGAAGGAAGACCAATGGCTGCGCAGGCTTACATAATCCGTGGCGGGGGGCAGAGGCAGGAGTGAGAGTAGGGAGGAGGGAGGATGCAGCGGGAGGAGTAGGAGGAAGGAGAACGCGGGGCGCTGTTTCTTCAAAACGAGGACCCAACACCACAGGATAGCTAGGAAAAGCGAGACCCCACGGGCCCAGAAGGCCTCGAGCAGCTCCGTCGAGACTGCCCCGATTGGCTCCTCGAGCGCATCAGGTGATTTTGAGACAACCGCACTCCACACCTCTTGTGACACCTCTCGCTCAGGAGGGTTTGCAGAACGTAGCTCTCTGATCCAGCCGCGGACCCCTGGGAACGTTGTTCCAATTATCTAGGGCCTCCTCCTTCTCCTCCCCGTCGTCGCTCTCCTCCGCCACAGGCCCCCCTGCTGTTGCTGCTGAAGCTGCTTCCGCTGCTGCTGGAGCCGCACTACTGCTGCTGCTGCTGCTGCTGCTGCTGCTGCTGCTGCTGCTGCTGCTGCTGTTGCTGCTGCTGCTACTGCCCATGCCCCTGGATCTGCTGCCGCTGACACTGCTAGCCCTGCTCTGGACGTCGCCAGAATCATCAAGCAAACAGCGCACCCTAAAGCAGTGAGCAGCAGCGAGCGCACTCTGACCACTGGCACTCGTGGACGGTAGTCCACGGGTCAGCCCTAGTCTGTACTACAATTCTTGTCGTTGCGTGTGCCAAAGGAGCGAAAAGGTCGCGAGTTGTTACCAAACGCCCGAAGCGCCCCGGCGCTCTCCGACGGCTCTAGAGAGCCCATCGGAGGCCCCAAGACGGCCTCTGACAGCCCCAAGACAGCTCTGAGACGCTCCAGACCGTGCGAGGACGCCCCAAGAGAACCCGAACGAAGCCCCATGACAGCCCAAGACGGCCCGACGACTGGCCACGTGCCTTCGAAAACAGTCGAATCAGAACCCGATGACGGTCCACCGAGACCAAAATCGCAGATGTTCTTTCGGTTTCCAAAGGTAACGGCCCCAGACGGCTTCAGGGCCATCCCAGATCCCCAAAAGACAGTCCAGGAGGCCCCGCCAAGTGCCCCAAGACGGCCCCAGAGTGCCCGAAGATTGCCCAAGAGAAGCCCACGACAGCCTCACAGAGCTCCCGGTGGCCTCCAAAACAATCCCAAGATGTCCCTAGCAGCTGCCCAACAGGTCCCAAACCTAGTTCCAAGAACAGCCCGCGAGGCCCCAGAGACGGCTCAGGAGATCCCCCAAATGGCCCAAGAGTGCCCCAAGAGCTGCCGAAGAGGGCTCGAGCGGCTCCCAGACGGCGCGAACCATCCAACATAGCCCCCAGACGTCTTAAGACTTCCAACATCAACAGCCCTCCCAGGTGGCCCCAGGACGTCCCTACAAGACCCCACGACGGCCCAAGAGCGCTCCCAAATGCCCCCAGAAACGCCCCAGAGGCTCCAGGAAGACTCCCAAGAGGCATCCAAGAGGGGCCGAAGACAGTCCAGACGACGGGCCTCCCGCAGGTCCCAACGGGCCAAGAACCTTCCCAGGACCACTCTTTTCCAGGACCACTCCGATGCCCCAGAGTCTCCCAAGAGGCTCCGACACTTGCCAAGGAGCTTTAAGCAGAGCGCCACAGCCACAGGACCCTTTCGCCGTCTCTTGAACCCCAGAAGTCCCAAATAATGCCGCGGACCTTGAAAGAAGCCCCGACCACTCCGAGGCGCCCCAGACCATCCCAAGATACTCCGATAATTCCGACGGAGCTCCCAAGAGAGCTTCCCGCCCTTGTGCCTCCCAGGTAGCCTTCAACAAAGCCTCTTAGCCATAACAAGGTCCAATGAGCCTCCCCGTTCAGCTCTCTTCTCTCACTCCTCCTCCCTCCCTCCCTCCTCCTGATTCTTCTCCTGGGCTTCCCTGTCTTCAAGCTCCAGCCACTCTGGTGCCCCCACACAGCTGATTCGGGGTGGCACAAGGGCCATGTAGACACCTGGGAGCCCTGCTGCAGCAGCACCCGCACCCACGTCTGTCTCTGAAAGCCTCCAAAGAAATCCACAGACCGCCCTCGCTCCACAGCTACTCTCGTCCTCTTCGACCTCCTGCTCACTCATACTGCTCACTCCCTCCTCCTCGCCCCCCCCCGTCCCCCAGCGCGTCTCGGGCCTCCTCCAAGCGATCATGGGTGACAAGGGGGACTTGTTTCTCTCTTCTCTTCCCTGGCTTCCTCGTCTGCGAGCCTGCACCTCCCTCTCTGCGGACTGCTTTCTCCCTCCTACACCCCCCCTTCCGATTTGGGGTTACAAGGGTAACCTTCTGCTATCTTCTTTACCCCGGATTCCTCCTGTGGGAGCCTGCACTCCTCCCATCTCCAGTACCGCTTTCTCCTCCTCCTCCTCCTCCTCCTCCTCCTCCTCCTCCTCCGCCTCCTCCTCCTCCTCCGCCTCGTCCTCTCTCTACGCTGGGCTCCTCTGCCTCTTCCTGCATGAGGCTGCAGCGAGACTGGACTGCGGGAAGCCTTCAATGCCACAAGAACCCTACAGGGACCACTCCGAGATTGCCTAGACTCACGAGAAACTCAAAGACAGCCACCAGCCCCAGAGCCCGAAATCTGCAGTGGACCCTGGAGCAAGCCCGCAGGCGTCGGCGACATATACGCGTTTGGAATCGACACCATGACCTGCCAGCCGTGGATTTTCCATTGGTTCACACTCGTCATCACCATCTATACTACAATACCGGGCATTTGCGCGTGCGACAAGGGCGAGCGATGGTCACCCGCGGCGGCGCCCCGGGGGCCCCGCCCGTGGGGTGACGCCGTCCCGGCCCAGGACAGCCCCGGGACAGCCCATGAGGGCCCCGACGCGGAGGCCTCGAGAGTCTCCCGGAAGCTGCCCAGCGAGCCCGAGAGGGCCCCAGGACGGGCTCGCAGGGCCCCCACGAGTTTCCATGGAGCTCCCAGGGGACCCCCACGAGGGCCCCGAGGCCGCAAAACTATCGATCATTTTGATGGTTTTTGACGTTTCCGGTGGTGCTCCTCCCGCCCGCCCCAAGACGCCCACCATGGCACTGCGGGCGTCCGAAATCGGGCCCATGCTGCCCGGGGGGCCTCCAAGAGAGCCCCCAAGACGGCCCCAGAGGCCCCCGATCGAGCTCCCGGGCCCCCCAAGACGGCCCCAGGGTCCAGTTCGGAGCGCTTCCCCCCCCCCCCCCGGGCTCCTCCACGGCCAGCAAGGCTCCAAGACTCCCCCGAGAGGCCCCCAGAAGGCCCCGGAGGCGCTCCCAAGAGGCCACTGGGCGCCCTCCAGAGGCTCCCAGAAGGCTTCACAGGCGCCCCCAAGAGCTCTCAAGAGGCTCCTAGAGGCTCTCCAGAGGCTGCTGCTGCTGCTGCTGCTGCTGCTGCTGCTGCTGCTGCTGCTGCTGCTGCTGCTGCTGCTGCTGCTGCTGCTGCTAGCGCTGCTCCAGAGGCCGTCAGGATCATCAAGCAAACAGCGCACCCTGAAGCAATAAGCAGCAACGAGCGCACGCTCAATCCTCTGGCATTCGTGGACGGTAGTTCACGGGTCTGCCCTAGTCAGCTACAATTCTGGGATCAGCGCGTGCGCGAAGGGCGATCAGTGGCAGCGGGCGCTGGCGCTGCTGACCGAGATGCGGGAGGCGAAGCTGGAGCCCAACGTCATCAGCTACAGCGCTGGGATCAGCGCATGCGCGAAGGGAGATCAGTGGCAGCGGGCGCTGGCGCTGCTGACCGAGATTTCGGAGGCGACGCTAGAGCACAACGTATTTGATCGAAGATGCCTACAGCGAATCACCGTCGCCCCCTGCCTTTTGGAATCGCCCATGTGGCCGAGTGTAGTGGCAAAAAACTCTGCCAAGCTATCGGGCCACGTGTTCCCCAGCCATTGTAGAAACCCGTCGGGGAACACTTGGGGGAGGATGGCGGGGAAGATTAGGAGGAGGAGGAGGAGGAGGAGGAGGAGGAGGAGGAGGAGGAGGAGGAGGAGGAGGAGGAGGAGGAGGAGGAGGAGGAGGAGGGGGCATCTTGGGATCCTCTGGGGCTCACTCTTGGGGCCTCCTGGGAGGCATCTTGGGAGCCGCCTTGGGCCTCTTGGGGGCCTTTGGGGGTTCTCGGGGGCCTTTTTGGCCGTCTTGGGGCATTTCTGGCGCGTCTGACGCCATCGGAAGTCGTCTTGGGGCCTTCTTGGGGTGCTCCAGGGCCGTCTTGGAGGCCTCTTGGGCGTCTTGGAGGCCACCCTTGGGCCGTCTTGGGGCCACCCTTGGGCCGTCTTCGGGGCTTCTTGGGCCGATCTGGGGCCATCTTGGAGGCCTCTTGGGCGATCTCGGGGCGATATTTTGGGGCTCTTGGGCCGTCTCGGGCCGTTGGAGAACCGAAGAGAAGCAAATGCCAAAATCCCTTCAAAACCTAAGGAATATCAATGATTGTTGCCTCTTCGGGCCTTCCCGGAGGACCTCTTGGAGGCTTCTTGGGCCGTCTTGGAGGCCTCTTGGGGGCCTCTTGGGCCGGATTGGGCCATCTTGATGCCATATTGGACCATGTTGGAAACTTCTTGGGCGGACTTGGCGGCATCTTGGACCCTCTTGGGCCGTCTTGGAGGCCATAACTGGCCATCTCGGGCGAACTTAGGTGCCGTCTCGGGCCATTTGAGCCGTCTTAAAAGCCATCTTGGGCCATATTGGAACGGAGAGACATTGACATATACATTTTGCGGTCCTTTCCGGGTGGCCGCCGGGACGGGTCGAAGCCCCAGGGAGAGTTTTTTGGATCCCGCCACCGCCCCCCCACTGTAGTTCAGAGGCCGTCTTGGGGCCCTCTTGGGTGCCTCTTGGGCCTTCTGGGGTTCCTCTTGGGCCCTGGGGCCCCCTGGGGGCTTCCTGGGCAGTCCTAGGGTGCTTTTCGGGGCTTCTTGGGTAGTCTTGGAGCGCTCGAAGATGCCATCGATGCCGGGAACGACGTCGAGGTGGCAGTCACTCCTCGCTCCCTTGCCCCCGCTCCTTGCTCTTCCCACTGCTCCTTCCTCTCTCCTGGCCCCTCGCTGACTCCTGGCTACTCGTTCCTCCTCCCTTCTCGCATCTGCCTCCTGCCAGTCCCACCTGGCCCCAGGAAGCCCAGCGACGGCTACCTCCCTCACTCCTCCATCCTCGTTACTCTGTGCTCGTTTCTCGCCGCTCGCTGCTCGGGCCTTCACGGCGTTCGGCAGCGTTGTCGCCATCGCATCACACGCCACTTCGGAAAGGTTTCGTGGAAAGTAGTCCACGGCACAGCCCTGGTCTACCGTAGAGCCCGTTTCTTTATTGCTTGGGGCATGACGGGCGTCATGGCCCCCGCTCCCCCCCCCCACCCCCCCTCTATGACGTAACGCCCCTCCCCCCAGTGCGCTCCGGGCACTGCCGCCGTTCGCATTGGGTCCGCGTAGGAATCCGCACAGGTGTCTGGTCCGCAGTCGTCGTGGCGATGGTCGTCGTCGTCGTCGTCGTCGTCGTCCGTCGTCCGTCGTCGTCGCTCGTGGTTCGTCGCTCGTCACTCATCGTCGTCGTGCGCGCGGACCCGGCTGGAGCCTGTTTTTTCAGTCCGGGCCGATGGCGGCAATCATGTGGGGGGGGAGATCGATGACTTCACGTTTCGCGCCGGCGGCGTCTGGGAACGCTTAGGAATGACGGAGGACGGGTAGCACGAACATGTAGGTGGCGATCTGCACCAGATCGCCTGTGTACATCACAGTGCCCGCGTGCACCACAGCGCCTGTGTACACCACACCGCCTATGTACACCAAAGCAGCCGCGTGCAACACAGCGTCAGTTTGTGCCTCCGTGCCTGCGGGCACAGCAGCTCCTGTGTACACCACGGCGCCTCCGTACACCACATCAGCCGTGCGCAACACAGCACCAGTGTACACCACAATGCCTGCGTGCATTGCAGTGCCTGTGTACGCCACGGCGCCTGCGTGCACCACATCAGCCGTGTGCAACACAGCACCATTGTTGTGTATAGAAATTTAGAATCCTTGTGACAAAATGGAGCGCTTGCGGATTCCAGAGAAAACAATGGAAACCAAATCCTTCTGGACAAAGGAGCGCCGCTGGAATCTACGAGTCCCCCCGAATCCGCCCGCATCACCCTAACTCCCACTTGCGTCCAGGAGGCTCCAGCTAAATTGGCCGTCCGAGAACCAAGTGGACCGATTCAATTGACCATTCTGCGGTGCACGCTGAGATGCGCACGTGCGTTGTAACGCCAAGCCGCGCGACAGGGGGTCAGAAGGAGGAGAAGCAGGAGGAGGAGGAGGATGAGGAGGAGGGGGAGGAGGTGGAGGTGGAGGAGGAGGGAGGAGGGAAAAAATTGTATTCGATTATCAGAACTTTCCTGGCGTGGCGTTTAGTTGTCCGCAGCAGATCCTCACGTACATGCTCTTTCTACCTGTCCTATGCGCGCAGGCATTGTGGTGTACACCAGCGCTTCGTTGCACGCGGATGTTGTGGTGTAGACAGGCGCTGTGGCGTGCACAGGCGCCGCGGTGCACGCAAGCACTGTGGTGTACACAAGGCGCTGTGTTGCACATGGCTGCTGCGGTGTATGTACACCGGCGCTGTAGTGGTCCCAAGTATTGTGGTATACACAGGCGGTGCGTTGCACACGGTTGTTGCGGTGTACGCAGGCGCTGTGGTGCACACGCGCGGTGTGGGGCACGCGAGTGTTGTGGTGTACACAGGCGCAGTGGGCAGATCGCCACCTACATGCTGCTCGTGTCGTCGTCGTCGTCGTCGTCGTCGTTGTCGTCGCTCGTCGCTCGTCGCGTCGTGCGCGCGGGCGCGGCTGTGGTGCCAGAACCACACGGCGGGGGGGGGCGTCATGTCATACCCCCCCCGGCCCTCCCCCCCCCCATGACGCCCGTCATCGCCGAACATAAAGAAACGCGCTCGTACAACGCCAGGGGAACCGCGTGCCAGAGGGAAAATGTTTCAAAAGACTCGAGACCAGCCCCAGCGCGCTCCAGGCTCCCCCCAAAGGTTTCCAAGACGGCCCAAGGAGGGCTCCCAGACGGTTTCAGATCCGAGACGCTTGCAGACGGTCTAAGAGGTCGCCACTATGGCGTTCAGACGGTCCCACTCCCACGGGGACCCCAGACAGCCCAAGAGGGCCCCAAGACGGCCCAAGAGGGCCCCAAGACTGCTCAAGATTGTTCCAGGAGCGCCCCAAGAGGGGGAACTCGAACTGACATTTCGCGCCCTCCGCTTCAGGATGGTCCCAGCAGCCGTCAGCAGGCACCCCAAAACCGCCTCCTAATTTGGAGCTTCGTGGTAACATCTCTTAGAGATCTCGGGGACCGAGCAGGAGACCTAGGAGAATAATGCGTCCATGTGCCTCATATTGTTCTAAGTTCTTTTAACAGGCTCCGTTCTGAATGGGCGACTCGTTGGAGAGTTCTCCCTAAGTGTGCTCCAGACAGGCCGGCCATCGGGAGCATGCTCCGCAGTGCCTTCGAACTTCTTCCGAGCCTACGCAACCAGCGCGCATCAGCCGACCTCCTTGGGTGGCCACACCCACCGTGGAACATCGTTGGGAAATAAGGCCCACACACGTATGCTTCTTATTTTCCATCCTTGGCCCTACTACGGCCTTAAGTCGGCTCAGGATGGGCGGCCCAAAAAGCCCCCATTACCCCAAAACCAGCAGGACGAAACACGAAGCAGGAAGCGCAGCGGCAGCACACAGCAACAGAAAGGATCAGCAGCAGCAGCAGCAGCAGCAGCAAGCAGCAAGCAGCACCCAGCAGCACGCACCAGGCCGACGTGGCTATCAGCAGCACCCTGAAGGCACAAACAACAACAACAACAACAACAACAACAACAACAACAACAACAACAACAACAACAACAACAACAAAAATAACAACAAGAACAATAACAATAACAACAATAACAACAACAACAACAACAACAACAATCATTTTACCCGAACGCGTGGTGTTCTCCCCAGTGCCAGGGTTTTCATACGACACCAGGCAATACCCCCACTTCGTGGGGGGGCATTACAAGCTCTACCAAATATCCAAACGACTCTTCGCGACCACCCAAACCCAGCTTCCCGCCCTATGACGTTGGGACACTTCACTTCGTGGCGTGCGGACGACCGTGGCTACTACACTGGCGTGGGGTACACACCCACAGAACCCAATGGTTTTTGGAGATTTCGGCGTGCGCGCGCGAAGAAAAAACGAATGTGTCCCGCATGGTATTATTTGACAGGGATGATGGCCCTGGCAGGTGCGCAACCGTTGTCGCAGAAGTTCGAAAAAGTTGCTCGCAAAAGCCCGTTTGACAGAAATGTTTAAAAAGTGTTGGGTTTCCTACGAATCCGCAAGAGCGCGCGGGATGAGATTTTGACATTTTTTTGTTGAAAAACCATTGGTTTTTTGATGTTTTTATGTTAAAATCGCTCCGAACACTAAGCTTTTGGAAGGATTTCGTCTTGCGCGCGCGAATGTCCACTTTACCTTATTTTTTACAAGGGATTCTTGAAATTTGATTATATTTGAACAAGAAATTTCATTTTATAGTGTTTTTTGCAAGGGAAAGCGGATTACAACAAAACAACCGGATCTGATCACTCGTTTTACCTGAGGCTTCCTCACGAAAATGATGAAAACGTGGCTGCGGCCTAGGCGCGGCGGGGGGGGCGCGCACCAGGGGGCCCAACAATAATTATTCTTTAGAATTAATAATGTTCAACAACAACAACAACAACAACAACAACAACAATAACCATCACAATAACACCAGCAACAGCAGCAACAACAACACCAACACCACCACCAACATCAACACCACCAACAACAACAACATTTTCAACACTAACAACAACGACAACAACAACACGCAGCAGCGACGAGCATCACCAACAGCACGCAACAGCAGCAGGACGCAGCAACACGCAGTAGCATGCGCGGACTGCGAGGATCGATCCCCGCGTTGTAATCTCAGCTTTTCGGCAGCATGTCTACAATCACGTTCCAGTTCGTGCAGGTTTCGTGGACCGAGTCCAAGGGTCAGTCCTAACATATAGTCACCTACAGCGCTGGGATCAGCGCGTGCGAGAAGGGCAAGCAGTGGCAGCAGGCGCTGGCGCTGCTGAGCGAGATGCGGGAGGCGAAGCAGGAACCGAACGCCATATCTATATTACCCACTTGTCGTTGAACGTAGGTATTCTAAGTTTCCCAGGTCACAGTCTACTTCTAGCGCCTACCTACTTCAAGCATCGGCATGCTTTTGATGTGTTTTGTTACTCTCTGGGAATCCAACCTACTTTATCCGCCATCCTACTTCGTGTTTCTGCCTACTTCTCCCGACTGGGGTGTACAGTACTCGGATCAGCGGGTGCGAGATGGTCGACACGTAAGAGTGGCCCTTCGCTTGAATGACCTTCGGTGCGGGCTCGCAGGCGCCCCCCCAGCGCTGGCCTGCGCGCTTGGGTGTGGCCTGCCCGAGGTCACTCTTGCGTGCAGTCGAGATGGCACCAGCAGAACTCGGCCCCGGGCGGCTCCTGGCGGCCCCGGGGCGGCCCCAGGCTGTCGCCAGCGCTCCCGGGGCGGCCCTGGACGGCCTCGCACGGCCGCCAGGTGGCCCAAGAGGACCCCAAGCGAGCCCCAGAACAGCCCAAGACGGCCCCCGAACAAGCCAGGAGGCCCCCAAGACTGCCCAAGAGGACCCCGATGAAGCGATTTTCAGGTTTCTCCCAGTTCGAGCCCAGAACTGACCCGGACGGCTTCCGGGCCGTCCCAGGTCGCCCAAAAACGGCCTCAAAAGTCAAGAAGCCTCGAGGAGAGCATCAAGGCGGCCCAAGATCGCTCCAAGACGGCCCCAGAGAACCTCACGGCCCAATATTTCGCCGCCACGAAAGTTCGGCCAAAACGCAGCGCTTCCTGTAATGCGACGGGGCCCCGGTACAGCTTTGTCATTGGCGTTGCCCCCGCGACAAGAGACAAGAGAGGAGACGTCAAAGGGGCCTGTTAGGCCGCGGGACCCCAGTACAATGTTCTGTTCAATCATTGCTTTGCTCAAGTCTCGGGCGGAACCGCCCTTTCGAACTCGCACCCGATGGTTTCGTCATCCAGTCAAAATCGCTGTTTGAAACAGCACATCTGAAATCTCTGGTCATACATGTAAAGTTTTCTTTTCGAGGACCCCCAGAGGCGATGCGAATCTGACCCCCCCTCCCTTCCCCGAGATTCGGTCTCTTTACAACCCGAACAGCATTTTACAACCGAGATAAGTCGTTTTACAGCCAACAACAGATCGAATTCCTGGGTTTTCTTTTGAGAACGACCACTTTACAACCAGAGCAGCCCACTTTACAACCAGAACGACCACGTTACAACCCAGACGGGGCTCTTTGCAACCAAAACGGCCACTTTAAAATCAGCCTTCAGAAGCGCGCAAGCGCGCGCTGGAGGGGCTTTTGGACCTTCTGAGCGCCTGAACGCTCTGCAGAGGCATCTGAGCGCCTGAGCGTTCTGCAGAGGCTCCTGAGCGCCTGAGAGCTCTGCAGAGGCTTCTGAGCGCCTGGACATTTCCCAGAGGCTTCTGAGCGGCCCGGCGCTTCTCAGAGGCTTCCAAGCGCTTGAGCGCTCTGAAGCCTTTGCAAAGCGGGAGTAAACAGTTGCTTGCGGTGCCCAAGAAACAAATTGAAACCCGCATGCATTGGCTAGAATTTGACCAGCGGTTTGTTCGGCACTTTCCGCCTTCCTGGGTACGAATGCTTCCGCAATTGCGCAAACATGCAGTCTTGCGATTGCCAGACGATGGGGCGCGAGAACAGACGTGGCCTACGAGGCAAAACGCAGTTCGAAATCTGAACGCACTGGCTAGAGTCGTTCAAACGATTTGACCACATTTCTGCCCTCCTGGGTACGCATGCTTCCGCGGATGCGAAAACATGCGGTGTTGCTTTTGTCAGACGATGAAGCGCGAGGACGGATGTTGTCTGCGAGGACAACAACAGCACATTTTGGCATCCACACGTATGCTCGAAATTTCGAAAGCACACCGTTTTCGTGATTGTCAGACGATGGGGCGCGAGGACAAACATTGTCCATGATACAAACAGCCGCAATTTGAACTCCACACGTATTGGCTAGAGTGTTACCATCGACTTCGTTTCCACATTGCCGCCCTCCTGGGTACGCATGCGACTGCGAATGCGGTTTTGCTAAGGCGCGAGGGCTAAAGTTGTCTGTGAGGCCAACACACACATTGAAATGCACAGGTGTCGGCTAGAATTTCCCCATCGATTTCTTGGCAGCATTACCGTCCCCTGGGTACGCATGCTTCCGCAATCCTGTTTACATGCATATATATAGATATATGTATGATTTTGCCAAACGATGAGGCGCGATGACAAACATGGTTTCTGATGCAACACACAGCCACTTGAAATCCATATGTCTTGGCTGGGAAGTTACCAATGACTGCTTGGTCACATTTCCGCTCTCCTGGGTGGGTGTGCATGTTTACTCACATGCGAAGACATAGAGTTGCGCCTTTGCCAAACGATGAGGCGCGAGGGCAAAACATGTTTGTGGTGGAAAGAAAATAAGATCCGAAGGTATTGGCTAAAGTTGTGCCACCAGGTTCTTGGGCACATTTCCGCTCTCTTGGGGGCGCGCGTGTTCCTCTGCGATTTTTTGTTGTGGCAAACACTTTCTCTATTTCCAGAAGAGGCAGGACTTTTAGAAAGAGGTTATGAGGTTCCGTTCGACGATGTAGACTTAGGGCACGACGGCAACAAAATTTGACGCGCCCAGGCCTGTCACCAGCCTGTAGCGAGAGGGTCTGTATTGGACCCCAACTGGGTCCCAATAGTTCTTTGAGGATACCATAAGGATAGCAATAGGACGCGAATCGGGGCACAATATAAGTCAAAGAGGACAAGTTCTTTGTTGAGTTAGAATTGGGTCCTGGTGGGATCCCAGTAGTATGCCCGTATGGACCGAAAAGGAATATTCCGATTGTATTCCAACGCGATATCCTTCCTATTCGCAAATATGGTTTTGATGGGATTCCAAGAAAAACGTCTCCTATCGTCTCTCGAATGTGAACCCGCAAGAATACCCACCGGGCTTCCATGTAATACCCCCTAGTGCGTTCCCCGCAGCATTCCAACAGGAATGCTTCTCGATTTAAATATAGTGCGGTACCCCATCGGTTTCCATTGGGAAAGGGCCCTGTACGGGTTTCAGTCGACAGCATCACTATCGGATTCCAATAGGACCCCCGTAGGCCCCATATCGATGAACGTTGTTGGATACCAGTGGGATTCATCTGGTACCAACAGGATCCCAGTGGGAAGGGTGCCAATAGGATTCCATTCGGATTCCTATTGGATCCCGTTAGGAATCCGCCACTTCACATATTCTCGCTTCAGACGGGTCATTTTACAACCAACACGCTTCAGAGAACGAAGGGTCTCCCTTACGTGGACCAACGGAAATTTCGGAAATTTCGGAAATTTAAGAACAGATGTCGCTTATGTGCGTTTGTTTTCCTGGCTGGCTGTGAAGTGGCCTTCCTGGTTGTAAAGTGCCCTTCTGGGAAAACCCATGCTGGTTGTACAGTGCCCCATATGGTTGTAAAGTGGCCGCTCTGGTTACAATGTGGTCCACACGCCCCCCTCCCCCCCTTCCCCCGGGACCCCCGCCCCCACCAGGGAAGGGACAAAGGGAATGGGGCTTCCCTTTAACGTGACTGCGACGTGGGCCGATGTCCCTCAATCCCCGGACTCCTTCCCCCGACGACGGGAGAGTGCTCTCTCCCTTCCGACGGGGAAGGATAAACAGAAAAGGCAACCCGTCGACGGGACCAGACAGACCCCTCACGCACGCCGACAGGGTCGGCGGATTTTGGGGCTCTTTTGGGCGTGTCTTGGAGCATTGGAGGAGCAACATAGAGGCTCGCAGGGAGTAAGCAAGGGGGGCGAAGAGGGCTCCAAAACTGCCCAGGAAACTCCACGGGGGCCAAAGAAAGGCTTCAACATGAACAGACATTTGCCAGAAACCGCTTCCTGGTGGGACGCGCTGTTTCTTAATTTCTGTTACATTGGGCACCCTCTTAGACGCTTCTTCGAGCGGCGCTTCGACGAGCTGTGCGGTTTCGACGGGTTGGTCTTTGGAGTAAATCCACGGCGTGCGAGCCCCAGGTTGCGCACTCAGTGGATTCAATCCACGGGTGCACACTAGTTAGCTATAATGCTGGGATCAGCGCGTGCGAGAATTGCGAGCAGTGGACGTCGGCGCTGGCGCTGCTGAGCGAGATGCGGGAGGCGAAGGTGTTGCCCAACGTCATCTGTACTACAATTCCGGGCGAAGCGCTTGCGAAAAGGTCAAGCAGTGGCAGCGCCCCAGGCCGCCCAGAGAGCTCGCGGGCCGCCCGGAGAGCCTCCGGGCCGCTGCCCGACGGGCCCGGGAGGCCCCCGGACCGCTCGCGGACTGATCCAGGATTCCCAGATCGCCCCCAGACGGCCTCAGGAGGTCCCGAAGACGGCCCAAGACGGTCCAAGAGTGTATCCGAGACGCTTAAGATGGCTTCAAGACGCCTTCAAGACGGCCCGAGACGCCTCCACGAGGCCCCCACAGCGCTCGAAGTGCACCTCCAAGAGGGGCCGCAGAAGCCAAAATCGTTGTTCTTTTTGTTTTTAAATGTTTCTGGCCTTCTCGCTTTTTCGGCTTTCCGACGCTCCACGGCCGCCCAAGAGGGCCCCAAAGATCGTTCCAAGACGGCCCAGGAGGCCTTCAAGACGGCCCCAAGACGGCCCAAGAGGGCCCCAAGACGGCCCAAGAGTCGCCCAAGACGGCCCAAGAGGGCCCTAGGCCGCCAAGCGCCCCAAAAGGCCCCCAAAAGGCCCCAAAAGAGGGCCCAAGAGGCCCCAAGACGCCCCCAAACTGCTACCAAGAAGCCCCCAAACTGTCTCCCAGAGTCTCCCGAGAGGCCAACCACGAGATCCCAACCAACATCCACGAGATCTCTTACCCATTACCCAGGCCCGCGGCGAGATTGCCCGCAGGCCACTACAAGCCGGTTCGGGGGCCCTACGTATACCAGCACCCGCACCTTCGGCTGTATCGGGGGCCTCACCGCTGCTCTCTCGGTTCTGCTGGCTTCGATCTGCCAGAGCTCTCGAGACGGCCATCTCGACGGCCCGAGACCCCCAAGTAAGATGGCCCCAGGACCACCTGCGCGGGCCCGCTAACGCGGCCCCTTCATTCTGACGGTGACTGAAAACCTTTGAGTTTGTTGGTCGCGCCCAGTCCCAGCGCGATTAGCAAAAACCCATTCCTTTTCACGCTTCCAGGTCAGTGCCCCCGGGGCTCCCCGACTGCTTTCTGAGATCGCCCCTGGACGTGGCCCCTTACACGTCGGCCCCACGCGCGGCCTCCAAACGGGACCCCCAAAGGCGGCCCCCACACAACGCCTCCGAAGGTCGCCCCTACCGCCCCAGTAAGCGTGGCCCCCGAACGTCAACCCCACGCGTAGCCCCCAGGCGCCCCCAAACGTGGCCCCAACACACACACAGCCCCCAACCATTGCCCTCAAACGTGACCGTCACATCTGCCCCCGAACCCCACACCCTCAAACGCGACCGTCACATGTGCACCCGAACCCCGCACGCGGCCCCCAAACATGGCCCCCCGGCAGGGCCGCGAACGTTGCCCCCAACCATGACACCCTGACGAGACCCCCCAACGTGGCCCTCAAACGAGGCCCCCCAACGTAGCGCCCAACTCTGGCCTCCACGCGTCCACCCCCCACATCGAACTTCTCGCGCACAGGGACTCTGTAAGATCGTTCGGGCCCCCTTGCTCTGATTGCGTCTGAAAACCTATGTGTTTCTGCTAATCGCGCCCAGGCCTCGCGCGATTAGCAAACACACATTACTTTTGACGCTTCCAGCGCTTCCGATACGTGCGCGTTCGGGACCAATGCCTGGACCTGCTGGCCGTGGATTTTCCACGGGTTCACACTAGTCAGTTACAGCGCTGGGATCAGCGCGTGCGAAAAGGGCGAGCAGTGGCAGCGGGCGCTGGCGCTGCTGAGCCAGATGTGGGAGGCGAAGGTGTTGCCCGACGTCATCTCTCCTACAATGGCCGGACCGGCGCTCCGAGATGGCCCAAGATGGCCCAAGAGCTTTCCGAGACGCACGAGGAGGCCCCCAAGAGGGCCCCCAGACGGCCGAAGACGGTCCGAGGCTTCCCAAACGCTCCAAGTGGGCTCCACGACGAGCCCCAAGAGAGCCCGAACACCGAAAAATCGTCCCATTTCGTTTGGAAGTAGTTCATTTTGGCAGTTCCTGGGCTTGCCCGCTTCATAGCGTCCAAAACGGCCATACAGGGGCCCAAGATGGCCCCAGGACGGCTCCTGAGGCGCCCCTGGCGGCTCACGGGGCACCCAAGACAGCCTCAAGAGCGGCCAAGGACGGCCCTGGACGACCCCCAGGGGGGGCCCAGACTGCTCCAGAGACGTCCAAGACGGCCCCAGACAACAACCCCCAGACGGCCACGGACAGACTCCATGCGGAGCAAGGGGCACCCGAGACAGCCCCAGAGGGCCACAGGAGGCTTCCAGGAGGCCGAAAGAACTGAGAGGCTCCTAAACGATCCCCAGAGTCCCCAAGATCACGGCCCAAGAAGCACCGAAGACGGCGCCAACAGCAGCCCAAGACGGCCTAAGACGGCCACAGACGGTCCCAAAACGGCTCCCATCGCACCATGGGGCTCTGATGCGTGTTCGGCGTTCCATTTGGCCCAAAATCCCTCGCCCGTTTTGTCGGTCTGGAGACCTCTCCGCGGCATTTTGAGGTCATGCCGTGTTTCGCTCTTCTGGTGGCCCAGAATCGTTTGCCTCGGGGGGGTTCACAGCTTTGGGAGGTTTTTGAAACAGGCCCCGGAGGTCTTTTGGCGGGTCTCGGCCCTGCCCTATCATGATAGGGCAGGTTTTCGATGCGATTTTGGTCCCCTTTGGGCCATCTCAGGTTCCTATCGGCGATCATTTCGGGCCATCTTTGGGGCTTCATGGGGTATTTTGGCGGGCCTCGGCCCTGCCCTATCATCATAGGGCAGGTTTTCGACGCCATTTGGACCCACTTTGGGCCATCTCCGCCAGTGGCAGCAAGCACGAGTACACACTAGTCTGTACTACAATTCCGGGCGAAGCGCTTGCGAAAAGGTCAAGCAGTGGCAGCGCCCCGGGCCGCCCAGAGAGCTCGCGGGCCGCCCAGAGAGCCTCCGGGCCGCTGCCCGACGGGCCCGGGAGGCCCCCGGACCGCTCGCGGACTGATCCAGGATTCCCAGATCGCCCCAAGACGGCCTCACAGACACCCACAAGGGCCGAAGCCGACCCGACCGAAGCCCCCTGACGGCCCCAAAAGGCCTCAGAGACGGCCCCCGAGGACTGCCTGGACGGCGCCAACGGGCAAAACTTATCCGTTTTCCGAAGGTTTCAAGGGTTTTCCTGATCCCGCCACTTCGGGACCACAACGGCCCAGGATGGCCCCAGGGGGCTTCCCACATCGCCCCTGCGCGGTCCAAGAGGGTCCCAGGAGGGCCCCGAGACGGCCCGAGAAGGCCCGTAGACGGCCCAAGAGGGCCCTAAGACGGCCCAAGAGAGCTTCAAGTGACTCCCAAGTCAGCCCCAACCAGGCCCCAGACCCTGCCCGATTGGGCCCAAAGCGACCTCCGAAACGGCCCGAGACCCCAAAATGGCCTCAAGACGCCCCCAGAAGGGCCCAAGGTGCCGCCCAAGAGGGCCCAAAGCGACCTCCGAGACGGCCCGAGACCCCCAAGATGGCCCCAAGACCTCCCTGCGCGGCCCCCAACCGAGGCCCGCAAATGTGCCCCCCTCACTCTGAGTGTGCCTGAAAACCTTTTTGTGTTTTTGCTAATCGCGCCTAGGCCCGGCGCGACTAGAAAAAACCCATCTCTTTTCACGCTTCCAGGTCAGTGCCCCCGGTTTCCGGGGTGGCCCCCAGACGTGGCCTGTAAACGTCGGCCCCACGTGGCCCCCAAACGGGACCCCCAAAGGCGGCCCCCACATAAAGCCTGCGAAGGTCGCCCCTACCGCGTCAGTAAGCGTGGCCCCCGAACGTCACCCCCACGCGTAGCCCCCAGGCGCCCCCAAACGTGGCCCCCACACAGCCCCCAACCATTGCCCTCAAACGTGACCGTCACATGTGCCTCCGAAGGTCGCCTATACCGCCCAAGGGACGCCAGAGCTGTTCAACGTCGACGAGCTGGTTACCTACGGTGTGCGAGTCCCAGGCTCAGCACGCCGTGGATTTTATCCACGGGTTCACACTAGTTTTCTCTACTACATCGCAGGAGCACGTGCATTGCAGGAGCACGTGCGTGCGGAAAAGGGTCGGGAAGAGCCTGGGGGCTCTCGGCGGCCCCAGGACGGCTCCGAGATGCTCCGGAGGCCGCCCCGACGGCCCAACGACGACTCCGAGCCGCTCAAGATGCCCCGAAGGCGGCCCAAGAGGGCCCCGAGACGCGCAATGATCCGGCCAAGACGCTCAAGATTGGCCCAAGACGGCCCAAGAGCTCCCCAAGACGGCCCAATAGGCCTCCCAAGAGGCCTCCCAAGAGAGCCCCGAGAGGCCCAAATCGTTGATTTCCATTTGTTTTTTCCAGAGGTTTTTTGCTTCCTCGCTTTTTCGGCTTCCCGACGCTCCGAACCCCCCCCAGAGGCATCCAAGACCGCTCCAAGACGGTCGAAGAGGTCCCCAAGAGGACCCCAAGACGGTCCAAGAGGGCCCCAGGACGGTCCAAGGCGGCCCCAGGACGGCCCTAGAGGCGCCCAAGACAGGCCAACGGGACCCCATGATGGCCCGAAGAGCGGCCCAAGACGGCTCCAAGACGGCCCGAGGACCGCCCAAGAAGGCCCTAGGGGGCCCCAAGACAGCCCAAGGGGCGCGATAGACGGGCCCAGAGAGGCCCAAGAGGCCCCCAGGAGCCCAAAAGAGGTCTCCAAGAGGTCCCACGGGGCTTCAAAACTGCCTCGAAGCGAGGGGGCGGACGAGGGGACCGCCCAGGAGAACCGCCAAACTCGCCCCCAAAACGGCCCGAAACGGTTCCAAGAGCGGGGTGAAGGCTAAGATGGAGAGACAGACGAGGGAAGGAGAACGAGGAGGAAGAGGTCCACCGCGCCGTGCGTCGACCACACCAGCGACGTCATGGTCCCGCGCTACAGGGATTACGCCTTGTGTTCGGGGCGTGGTTGTGTCAGCATTCTAGGCACATCGCTTTCTTCCTTACAACCTGTCCCAAACAGCGAACATGTCGTCGCATGTCCGTCAAAGACGTCTACGTCGAATCACCGCCGCCCCCTGCCTTTTTGGAAGCGCCTATGTAGCCAAACTTGCCACTTCGTGGCAGCTTACCGTGGACGGAGTCCACGGGTCAACCCTAGTCATCAGCTACAGCGCTGGGGTCAGCGCGTGCGTGAAGGGCGAGCAGTGGCAGCTGGCACTGGCGCTGCTGAGAGAGATGTGGGAGGTGGAGCTGAAGCACGACGCCATCTACACCGCAATTCTGGGCCCAGCGCATGCCAGACGGACACATTGCTTGCGCGCGCCGGGCCCGCGGCGGCGGCACCTCCGCGGCTCCGCTCGTGGAGCGGCCTGGCCCAGGGGAGCCCCACGAGTGCCCCAGAAGGCGCCCAGAGCACTCCTCTGCAGCGCAGGAGGCCTCTCTGACGGCCCAGGAAGGCCCCCATCGGGCTCCACTAGGCTCCCCAATGGCCTCCGAGAGTGCCATGAAGGCGCACAATGATTGATATGATCCCGGCATGTTCTACTTTCCCTTGCGAACGCTTCTCTAGCCATAAGACGCCCAACCCGCCCTGAGAAGCCTCCCGATTCGTTTGGAGGGCGCCCAGGGAACTCCCAAGAGAGCACCTACGGCGGCCCCGGAGACCTTCAAGTCGGTTGTGGGGACTCTCAAGACGGCCGAACTGCCACCCAAGACTGCCCAAAGGGAGGCCCAACAGGGCCAACTCTGTAGCGCTCCACGCCCCTCCCGCCACCCCCACTGCCAGCGAGCCCCCAAGAAACGCCCCAGAAGCTCCCAGGCGGCCTCCGGAACACTCTCCAGAAGCTCCCGGACAGCCTCCTTCAATTCCCTCGAAATGGCTCTCGCGCGATCCTGGAAGGCTCCAAACCATTGAAACAACCATACCCCACAGGCTCGAGGAAGGCCTCCAGCAGCTCCCTCCAAATTGCCCATCCTAGAAACACCAGGTGAAGTAAAACAGCCACACACCACACCTCGTGGGACACCTCGCATGGGAGAGGGTACAGAATATAGCTGTCCGATGCAGCCGAGGGCACCCGGGAACGCTGTTGCTGCACCCCTTCCCGCGCCGAGCGTGTCCCAAGAGGTGTGGGGTGTGGCTGTTTCCGCTCGTCTTGGGCCTCCTCCTTCTCCTCCACGTCGTCGCCCTCCTCCGCCACAGGCGCTCCTGTCCGCGGAGTCGGAGCCGCACGATTTTCTGGAGGGGGAGAAGGAGGAGGAGGAGGAGGAGGAGGAGGAGGAGGAGGAGGAGGAGGAGGAGGAGGACCAGCACGAGCAGGGAGGCGAGGACGGGCCAAGCACGTGGAGGAGAGGAGGAGGAGGGAGGAGAGAGGAGGAGGAGGAGGAGGAGGGAGGAGGAGGAGGAAGAGGAAGAGGGGGAGGAGCTACTGTTGCTACTGCCCATGCCCATGGATCTGCTACGCTAGGGCTGCTCAGGGCTCCCTCAGAGCCATCATGCAAACAGCGCACCCTGAAGCAATGAGCAGCATCAGCGGCACTCTGACCACTGGCACTCGTGGACGGCAGTCCACGGTTCAGACTTAGTCTCTTCTACAACACCAAGAACAGTGCGTGCGAGAAGGGTTTCTGCACCGAATGGCTTACGGCGGCTCCGAGCCGCTGAAGAGGGCGCCCCGACGGCCCCACGACTGCTCCAAGACGCTCCAGAGGCCGCCCCGGCGGCCCAAAGACGGCTCCGTGCCGCTCAAGAAGGCGCCCCGACGACCCCAAGACGGCTCCGAGCCGCTCCAGAGGCCACGCCGACGGCCCCAGGGGCGCTCCGAGCCGCTCAAGAGGCCGCTCCGACGGCCCATCGCGGCGGCGACGACAACGACGCCGACGATGACGGCGACGACGGCGGCACGTGATGGTCGAGCCCCACGTTGCAATGACACTCGCAGAGGCCCCCACACGCGTCACCCCGAAAGTGGACGCAGTCCACGGGTCAGCCCTTGTAGCTCCTACATGGCTGGAACCTGCGCGTGCGAGAAGGGCGATCGGTGGCAGCGGGCTCTGGCGCTGATCAGCGAGATGTGGGTGCTGATTAGCATGATCAGTGTGATCAGCTGATCAACATCATCATCATCTCTACAATGCCAGGAGCGCCGCGTGCCAGAAGGATTCCAGGATTCGCGTGGCTACAAATCGGACCGGCAGGCCCCGGCGCGCTCTTCGGCGCCCCAGGAGTGCTCCTACACGGCCCGACATCGCCCCAACGGAGCTCCAAAGCGTGCCAAGAGAGGCGCTGCCCCGCCCAAGAGGGCTCCAGGACGGCCCCGAAGAGCTCCAGGAGAACCCGAGAACGCCACAAGGCGGCCCAAGAGGGCCTCCTGACGGTCCCAGGGGCCCCCCAGCGCTCCCCAAGACGGCTGAAAAAGGGAACCTCTGACAGGGCCTCCAGGCCCCAAGACGGGCCCGAGCCGGCCCGGGAACGTACCAAGATGGCCCAGATGCCTTCCCCCCCCCGAACCTTCCCAGACCCCGTCAAAACAGCTCCCTGTGGCCCCAGAGGCCGCCCAGATGGCTCCAGGAGGCCTGAGAGGGCTCCATGCAAAAGACGCCCCCCAAGACGGACACAAGAGGCCCCCGAGAGACATCCCGAGAGGCCTCCCCTTACGAGGCCTCAAAAGACCTCCAAGCGGTCTCTCCCCTCTCTCGCCTCCTCACTCCTCGGCTCTCCCTCCTCCCTCCTCGCCAATCCGTACTCGGCCGTCGTTCCTCCCTTCTCGCTCCTCGCTTTTTGCTGATCGCAGTATGCAGCACGAAGCAGACAGCAGCAGCAGCAGCAGCAGCAGCAGCAGCAGCAGCAGCAGCAGCAGCAGCAGCAGCAGCAGAAGCAGCAGAAGCAGCAGAAGCAGCAGCAGCAGCAGCAGCAGCAGCAGCAGCAGCAGCGGCAGCACACAGCAGCAGCAGCAGCAGCAGCAGCAGCAAGCAGCAGCAGTCAGCAGCACGCACCAACCAGAACTGGCCATCAGCAGCACCCTGCAGACACTAGCAGCAACAGAACGCAGCAGCGGCGCACCAGCGTTAGCAAGCAAGCAGCAACACACAATAGCATGCGCGGAATGTGAGGACCGAGCCCCGAGTTGTCATTTCAACATTTCGGCAGCACGTCCACAATGACGTGTCAATCAGTGCAGATTTCGTGGACGTAGTCCACGGGCCAGACCTAGTCTACACTACAATACCGGGCATTTGCGCGTGCGACAAGGGCGAGCGATGGTCACCCGCGGCGGCGCCCCGGGGGCCCCGCCCGTGGGGTGACGCCGTCCTGGCCCGGGACAGCCCCGGGACGGCCCATGAGGCCTCGAGAGTCTCCCGGGAGCTCTCCAGCTAGCCCGAGAGGGCCCCAGGACGGGCTCGGAGGGCCCCCACGAGCTTCCACGGAGCTCCCAGGGGACCCCACGAGGGCCCCGAGGCCGCAAAACTATTGATTTTCTCGATCGGTTTTTTGACGTTTCAATTGGTGCTCCTCCCGCCCGCCCCAAGACGCCCACCATGGCACCGCGGGCGTCCGGAGTCGGGCCCATGCTCCCTGGGGGGCCTCCAAGAGAGTCCCCAAGACGGCCCCAGAGGCCCCCGATCGAGCTCCCGGGGCTCCCAAGACGGCCCAAGAACCCCCCGAGACGGCCCCAAGGGACGCCCAAGAGGGTCCAGTTCGGAGCGCTTCCCCCCCCTCCGGGCCCCTCCACGGCCAGCAAGGCTCCAAGACGCCCCCGAGAGGCCCCCAGAAGGCCCCGGACGCGCTCCCAAGAGGCTCCCGGGCGCTCTCCAGAGGCTCCCAGAAGGAAGGCTTCAGAGGCGCTCCCAAGAGCTCTCAAGAGGCTCCCAGAGGCTCTCCAGAGGCTCCCACAGAACCCCACGAGGACCCCCTCCCGGGTATCGGAGGGCCCCCCCGCCGCTTCCCCGATGCCTCCGCTGGGAACAGCCTGCTACAGCACGCGGCACTGCTGGCACGACAAGCAGCAGGCTGGACAGGAGGAAGGGGATGAGACGCAGCTTTAAAACATCAGTATGCCGTGCGAGACCCGTTCAGTCCCCAGCACGCGCTCCAGAGGCCCCCCGAAGGCGCCATGCCCCAACCGGGCATACATAAACGCCGCGCAGCAGTCTCCCCACCGCGTCCATCGGCTCTCACCCTACGGAGGCATCTGGGCACACTGGCGCCACTTCTCCCCAAAACGCCCCTCCAGGACCTCTCAGGCATGACCGCCCCTTCCCCCCAAGAGCGTGGCCCCTTCGCGTGTTCCTCAGGACACGTCGGCCCATCCACCCTTGCGCAGCCAGCGTGCCCTGGGCCTTCCTGCTTCGGAGCATCGCCCCTGATTGGAACAAAAACCACACCCCACACACCTCTTGGGACACGCATCGCCTGGGAGGGAATGCAAACAAATCTTGCTTGGACCACCCGCAGACGTCCCAGGCCCCCTTTCCGTGGACCCCTCCCGCACGGAGCGTGTCCCAAGAGGTGTGGGGTACGGTTTCATCCATGCCAAACGCGCGCTCCCCCTCGCCCTCCTCCTCCCCGCCCCTCGCTCGCGCCCCCCCTGTCCTGCGGCTGCTGTTGCTGCCCCTGCTGCTGCTGCTGCCGTTGCTCTCCCTCCGCCTCGTGCTGCTCCGCCTGCTGAACCCCGCCGCCCCTCCATCCCTGCCCCCCCTGCCTTTCTATCCCCGTCCTGCCCTTCCCACTTCTCTCGGCCTTCCCACCTCTGGCCGCCAACCTCGCCGCCTGCCATCACTGTCGCGTTCCCCGCCGCCTCCGGACCCAGCTGCGCTTCCGCCTGCCGTCATTGCCGCGACCTTCTCGCAGCATTGCCGCCGAGCTCGCGGCGAGACGCGCCGACTAGCGCACGGGGCGCGCGCCACCGATACGGGCCCCCACGACGACCTCGACGACAACGACGACGCGACGACGACGCCAACGACGACGACGTGACGACGACAACGACGACGACGACGACGATGGCGCAACAGGGAGGACAACTACGACCACAACGACGCCGAAGCCGAGGACGACGACGACGACGGCGACGATTGCGAGAACGACGACAACGACCACGATGACGACGACGATGACGACGACGACGACGACGCCGACGACGACGACGACGACGCCGACGACGACGACGACGTGGACGACGACGACGACGTGGACGACGACGACGACGACGACCACCACCACCACGACGACGGCCACGACGACGACGACGAAGACGAGGACGAGGACGAGGACGAGGAGGACGAGGACGAGAGGGCCCCCGGGAGGCCCCCGGAGGTCCGCGTTGATTATGTTGTTGCTGGAGCTGCTGCTGCAGCTGTTGCTGCTGCTACTGCCGATGGTGCTGGATCTGCTGCTGCTGCTGCTGCTGCTGCTAGCGCTGCTAGCGCTGCTGCTGCTGCTGCTGCTGCTGCTGCTGCTGCTGCTGCTGCTAGCGCTGCTGCTGCTGCTGCTAGCGCTGCTCTGGACGCCGTCAGGATCATCAAGCAAACAGCGCGACCTGAAGCAATAAGCAGCAACGAGCGCACGCTCAATCCTCTGGCATTCGTGGACGGTAGTCCACGGGTTAGTCCTAGTCAGCTACAATGCTGGGATCAGCGCGTGCAAGACAGGCGAGCAGTGGCCGCGGGCGCTGGCGCTGCTGAGCGAGATGTGGGAGGCGAAGGTGTTGCCCGAAGTCGTCAGCTACACCGCTGGGATCAGCGCGTGCGAGAAAGGCGAGCAGTGGCAGCTGGCACTGGCACTGCTGAGCGAGATGTGGAAGGTGAAGCTGAAGCCCGACGTCATCTTATCCAAATAGCTGGTATACGCGTGTGTGGGAAGTGTCTGCCGTTATTTCCCCATATCCTCAGTATGGGGTTCTTGTTATTGGCGGACCGCGCCGGAGGAGAGAACGAGAGAGAACACACCACTCCTCTCACTCAGACCCACTCACTCATCACTCAGACTCACTCATCACTCAGACCCACTCATCACTCAGACTCACTCATCACTCAGACTCACTCATCACTCGGACTCAGTCATGACTCAGGCTCATCACTTATCACTCAGACTCACTCATCACCCAGACTCACTCATCACTCAGACTCACTCATCACTCAGACTCACTCGTACTTGCACTCATACATTCACTACACTCACTCAGGTCCACTCATCGGATGACTCACGCACACTGATTTTGAGGATGTCTCAGGCGATTCTGTGGCTTCAGCACTCCTAAGGGGAGCGGCGGGGAGGTGTTTCACTCGGCCCCTTTCGCAGGATTTTGTGGGGATGTCTCGAGCGGTTTGCTTGTTTTCTGTCCCAACATCCTTCGCTTTCGGAGCAGATTTGGAGGATGTCTCTCTCGAGCGAGGCGCTCATTTTCACGTTCCTAAGGGGAGCGGCGGGGGGGTGTTTCACTCGGCCACTTTCGCAGGATTTGTGTGGGGATGTCTCGAGCGGTTTGCCTGCTTTCTGTGCCAACATCCTTCGCTTTCGGTGCAGATTTGGAGGATGTCTCGAGCGAGGCGCTCATGTTCACCCCCCAGGTGGGCCAGATTTTGAGGATGTCTCGATCGGTTTGCTTGTTTTGGTGGCCAGGCTCGTGGGCGCAGATTCTTCTCAGGATGCCACAGGAGGCTCCAACAGGCTCCAGGAGGCCCCAGGAGACCACATGAGGTCCCAGGAGGCATCAGGAGGCCACAGAAAGACTCAAGAGGCCACAGGATGTCCCAAGAGGCTCCAGGAGGCCCCAGGAAGCTCCAGAAGGCCTCAGGAAACCACAGGAGGCCCCAGGAGGCAACAGGAAGTGCCAGGAGGCCTCGGAAGGCAACAGGAGGCCCCGAGAGGCCCCAGGAGCAGGAGGCCTCAGAAGGCAACAGGAGTGGCTCCAATCCCATGTGTTTTAGTATGCTCCTATCGATTGGGCCTCACCTGGAGCACGATTCTTTGATGTTATACGTACGTTTCTATAGATTATCCTTCTCCTGTGTACACAATCCTACATGTTTTACTTATGTCTTTATATTTTTATATATATATATATATATACATACATACATACATATAACGGCGCACCGGGTCCGGGGGCCCGGGGCCGGGACCTCGACCACAAATGTGGGCCCCGGGGGGCCCGGAGGCTCGTCGGACCGCCGGACGCCGTCCAAGATCGTTCGCAGGCGGCTTCGGAACGCGCTCCGATGGCTCCAGATGCCTTCCAAGACGCCTGTCATGACACCAAGAAGGTCCCAGAAGCCTCCAAGACGCTCCGAGAGGCAGCCCAAGAGAGGCCCAAGAAGCAAAAATCGTGCCATTCCTATAGGAAAACGTATATTTTTCGCATGTTCGCCTCTTGGGCTTTCACCGCGTCCAAGACGGCCCAAGAGGCGCCCAAGACGGTCTACGAGGCCTCCGGGAGCGCTCCAAGGCTGCGCACGAGTGGCCCAGGACGGCCCCAAGACGGCCGAAGAGAGCCCCAAGACGAGTTCGAGAGGGGTCCCAGACGGAGAAAGCCAACCTCGAATTCCGAGCTTCCGGCCCAAGAGGCTCCAGGAGGCGCCAAAATGCCGCCAAGAGGCGCCAAAAGGCTCCCAAAAGCACCCCAAGACGTTCCGAGAGGCACCCCAAGAGAGGTCCAAGAAACAAAAATCGTGCCATTCCTATGGGAAAACGTATATTTTTCGCATGTTCGCATCTTGGGCTTTCACCGCGTCCAAGACGGCCCAAGAGGCCTCCAAGACGGCCTAGGAGGCCTCCGGGAGCGCTCCAAGGCTGCGCACGAGTGGCTCAGGACGGCCCCAAGACGGCCCAAGAGAACCCCAAGACGACTTCGAGAGGGATCCCAGAAGGAGAAAGCCACTCTCGAATTCCGAGCTTCCGGCCCAACATATCCCAGGAGGCGCCAAAACGCCGCCCAGAGGCGCCAAAAGGCTTCCAAAATCAGCCCAAGACGTTCCGAGAGGCACCCCAAGAGAGGTCCAAGAAACAAAAATCGTGCCATTCCTATGGGAAAACGTATATTTGTCGCATGTTCGCATCTTGGGCTTTCACCGCGTCCAAGACGGCCCAAGAGGCCTCCAAGGCCGCCCCAAGACGGCCCAAGAAGCTTCCAAGAGGGCCCCAGGACAGCCCAAGAGGGCCCCAAGACGGCCCAAGAGGCGCCCAAGATGGCCCAAGAGGGCCCCAAGACGGGCCCAAGAGGGGGCCCAGAGGGGGACCACGAACCGCAAGCTCGAGCCTTCCGCCCCAAGAGGCCGCCAGGAGGCCCCAAGGAGGCCCCTCAAGAGGCCCCAGGAGACCCCCAAGAGGCCCAAAGGAGGCCCCGAGAAGCCCCAAATCGGCCCCCAAAATGCTTCGAACCTGCTTCCAGGAGGCCCCCGACAGGTTCAGAGGCTCCCGAGAAGCTACGTCAAACTCCCAGCGAGCGGCCGGACGAGGCCCCCCACAAAATCACAAGAGGGTTCCAGTATTTGTATCCTTCAGCGCTCTCTGGCCTTCTTCCCCCTGCCCCCTTCCCTGCGACTTTCGTTGACTCAAGCTCGCCTCCTAGCTAGAACCTAAGCGCGCGTGAAGCGCGCGCGTGGTTCTAGTATGTATATATATATATATATATATATATTGGGCCTCTCCTGGGGCACGAGTCCTTGGTGTTTTACGCGTGCTCCTATAGACTGCCCTTCTCCTGTGGCTCTAATCCGCAATGTTTTATGTACGTCTGTTGCTATATATGATCCAGGGTCGAGGGCCCACGGCCCCCCCCCCCAGATGGTATGGTCCCAGGATTCCTCGGGCCCCCCCCCCCAGATGGTATGGTCCCAGAGACGACGACGACGACGACGACGACGACGACGACGACGACGACGACGACGACGACGACGACGACGACGACGACGACGACGACGACGACGGCTGCGACGACGGCGACGACGTCGACGACCGCGACGACGACGACGACGACGACGACCACGACGACGACAACGACGGCTGCGGCGACGACGACGGCGGCGGCGGCGACGACGACGAGGACGACGATGACGGCGACGACGACGATGACGACGACGACGATGACGACGACGACGATGACGACGACGCCGACGACGACGAGGACGACGAGGACGACGAGGACGACGACGACGACGACGACGACGACGACGACCTCTGAACGAACCACCACAGCACCACACCACATCCACAGGGGGGGGGGAGGGGGGCACCGCAGTGCAACACCACGCCACGCCCACCTCTGAACCACCACAGCACCACACCACATCCACAGGGGGGGGGGGGGGGGGGGAACCGCAGCGCAGCACCACGCCACGCCCACAGGGGGGGGCGGGGGGGACCATCGCGCGGGGGGGGGGGGGGGGCCCAATGGCATCAGCATTGGGGGGGGGGCCCAAACCCTGGACCATATATTGCGCCTCTCCTGGGGCACGAAACCTCCCTAGGAGGTCCCAGGAGGCCCCAAGAGGCTCCTGGAGACCCCAGGAAGCCCCAGTAGGTTTCGGGAGGCCCCAGGAGGCCCCAGGCTCATGCACAGAGACGCGCTCGCACTACTGAGGCTCATTCACACTCCAATTTATTCGCAGTTAGATTTATGTCCAGACCGTCACAACTGAAGCCCGTTTATATTCGAAAGCTCTTGCGACTAGACATTCACGGCGGACAGGTCCATGCGAATAGATGCACATACGGGGAGCTCCACGCAGTGAATAATTGGCTTTCAGGAGCTCTTGGGCCACCCTGAGAGCCCCGAGGGCGCACCGCGACTGCTCCAGAGGTCTCCCAAATGGCCTCAAGACGGCCACATCACCAAGACGGCTCAGAGACCCCCAAGAAAGCGCCCGGACGACCCAAGAGGACCCGAAGGGAGCCCCAGGACGGCCCGAGAGGGCCCGACGACAAGCCCGGAGCCTCCAGGAGGACCCCGTCGACGCCCCGACGAGATGCCGAGTGTGCATGGCCCAACAGTGTTTGAAGGATGTTGGCGCGTTCGCCACTTCGGGCCAAGAGCGGCCCCAGACGGCCCCAGGGGCTTCACAGGTCGACTGAGGACGGCCCAGGAGGCCCACACAGGGGGCCCCGCGACGGCCCAGGAGAGCCCCCAGTCCGACCCCATAGATCTACAAGTGGTCCCAGGAGGGGCCCGATCACAGGAGGGCCCGGGCCGCGCAGGAGATCCGAGTGGGCCCCCAGGACGGCCCCGGGGGGGGGGGGGCAAGAGGGCTCCTAGCCAGACGCCCTGGAGACGCCCGCAGATGGCCCCGGCGCTGGTCCGAAGAGGGGCAGCCTGCAGTGATCGCCGTTGGGTTTCCGAATGGCTTCTGCCTGCTCGCTTCCTCGGGCCTCGGGACGCCCAGGACGGCCCAAGACGCTCCCGAGATCGACCCGAGACGGCCCAACAGGCCCCCAGGGGGGGTGGGGGGGGGCGAAGACGGCGCAGCAGGGCTCCCTAAAAGGCCCAGGCAGGGCTTCGAGACGGCCCCAGAGGCTGCCAAGAAGGCCCCACAGGCAGGGCAGGCCCATGGCGGCCCAATGACGCCCCAACACGACTGCAAGCCCCCCCATCGAACGTCCCTGGACACCTCCTAAACAGCCCTGGGTCGTCGCAAGGGCCGCCCAGATGGCTTCGGGAGGCGTTGGGAAGGTCTCGCTGGAGCCGACGAAGCCCCGAGGAAGGCCCCGAGTAGACCCCCAGAGACCCCCAACAGCCCCCCCCCCGAGAGGCATCCCGAGAGGCCCCCCCCTCACGAGGCCCCAAGAGATCCCCAAGAGGCCCCCCCCTCTCCCGCCTCCTCCCTCCACGGCTCTTCCTCCTCGCCCCTCCTCTTCCAGGCCGTCGATCGAGGTTACGCCAGCACGCTGAAGAAGCGAGAAGCAGCACCCCGCAGCTTCAAGCAGCAGCAGCAGCGAACGCCAGCAACACGAAGCAGGCAGCAGCAGCGGCAGCACACAGCAACAACAAGCAGCAACAGGCAGCGGGCAGCAGCTCGCACTGAGCAGAACTGGTCAGCAGCACCCTGCAGCCGCAAGCAGCAACACCGCGCGGCAGCGGCGAGCAGCACCGACAGCATGCGACAACGGAAGCAACCAGCAGCACGCAGTAGCATACAGAATGCGAGGGGCGAGCCTCACGTTTTCTTTCGAGCCTCACGTTTTTCGCTCCTCCTTTTCTCGCCCCTCGCTCTTCGCTGATCGCCCATCGCCTCTCGCCCTCGAGCTTCTCAGTAGTCTAGATCCTGACTCTTCGCTTTTTGATCCTCGCCCGGCAGCAGGTCGCGTCTGAACGCTGAAGCAGCGAGAAGTATCACGAAGCGGGTAGCAGCAGCGGGAGGACACAGCAACTGCAAACAGTAGCAGCAGCAGCAGCAGCAACAGCAGCAGCAGCAGCAGCAGCAGCAGCAGCAGCAGCCAGCGGGCAGCAGCCAGCGGGCAGCAGCGCGCATAAAGCAGATTTGGCCACCAGCAGCACCCTGCAGCTACAAGCATCAACAACACGCAGTAGCGCTAAGGATTACGAACGGCACGCAACCGCGGCAGCAAGCAGCAGCACGCAGTAGCATGCGCGGAATGCGAAGTTTGAGTCCCACGTCATCATGTCAGCCTTCCGGTAGCAGGTCCACCACCACATTCCAGTTCGTGAATACTTCTTGGACGTAGTCCACGGGCCAGACCTAGTCAGCTACAGTGGTGGGATCAGCGCGTGCGAGAAGGGCCACCAGTGGCAGCGGGCGCTGGCGCTGCTGAGCGAGACTTGAGACATGCTTTGCCGTACCATCTGGTTCCTGGAAGAGAATTATAAGTTTGGTTTTCAAGAGGGCTTCCATTGTTTGTGCAATTCCAGGAAGCTTGCGGGTTGGATTTCCGCCAGGACGCATACGTGTTTTACATGTGACAGTGTTGTAGTAAGTTACAGTTGCTTCGTGAATCGTCACGTTGACCGCGCCGCTGTGCACCCATCAAATCAACCAAGGCAGAGGAGGAGGGGAGACGCGGACGACGAAGGGGTGAGGGAGCGGGGCAGGAGGAGGGTGATACGCGAACGTGAGGACAATCAAGTACGGAGCGAAGCGGCGCGAACCCGCTCCGTCCGAGTGGATCGGGGCAGCAGGGGGCGAGAAGATTGCATCGCGGCCACCCCCTTGAGCAACGGACGGCCCCCCGTCATCTCTTGCCCCCGCTCGCCCGGCTCGAATTGGTTCGCGGCTTCGCCCCCCTCTCGTTCCGAGCTCGCGTCGCCGATGCAGTATGGTTGTGAGGCAGAGGCGGCGGAGTGGGACGCAGAGCCTGTGGACAGACCAGGCGGATCCGGTGGAGATCTCAGACTTTGTGGCCAGGCCTGTCCTGAATGACTGGGGGGCCGCAACGGCGGAGAGCGGCGCCGACCCAGAGCCAGTGGCTGAGAGGGGTCCTTTCTCAATGCAGCCTGCAAACATGAATTGCTTCGAGTCCGTGCAGCACGGTCAACTGTTCTCCGCCCCCGCTCCACCATGATCGCCACTGCCGCTTGACGGCGCCCTCGATGACCCAACCGCCGATGATGCCGCCCCCGCCGAGCTCGAGGCCGACCTGAATACGGTCGGCCGTCTTTGGCCCCTCTGGGGCGCCCACGATCGGAAACGAAAGTTCGATGCGATGCAGTTCATCGGTTGCCTTTTGCGTGCAAGGAAGGTTCATGGCTTTTCGAAGTCGCCCTCGGGGTACCACCATGGTTACTTGGAGCCATGTTCGGCCAAGCATGGGTGGCCTCCTGGAAGCACGATGCAAGCTACACTGACCAATGTTGGGCTGCCTCGCGTTATCATGAAAGCAATGGGAGCATTGGTAATCAGAGGCCCGCTCGGGGCCGTCGCGAGCCATCTTGGCAAATTCTAGCCGCTCGTGTACGTTGCAGGGGGGAGGGGGGGAGGGGGTGGGGGGGGGGAGGGGTGGAGGGGGGGAGGGGAGGGGGGACAAGCTAGGTGAGCTCGCGTCATATCTGACATCCTACCCCTCCCTCCCATCCCTTACCACAAGCTCAGTCGGATGTCGAGCAGGGCAATGATCCCGAAAGGGTACGCGATGCATTGTAGAGCACGGCATGGCATGGCGTAGAAGAGCACCGCAAAGCGTAGTATCAACCTAGCATTGCATTGCATGCCGTGGCATGGCACGGGAAATGACACCAGCGCTGCAGCGGGAGCACGAGTCGAAACGAGCGGAAGCGCGGAAATGAGGCCAGCGCTGCAGCGGGAGCACGATTCGGAACGAGCGGAAGCACGAAAACGAGGCCAGCGTTGCAGCGGGAGGACGATTCGGAACGAGCGGGGCCCGAAAATGAGGCCAGCGCTGCAGCGAGAGCAGCATTTTGAAAAAAATGCAGGGAAACACCCAACTCCGGGGAAACCTGTGTGTAAAAAACAGTACGCGGGGGGGGTCGGCCACTTTCAAACCGTCATCAGGGGAAGAGGGAGAGTAGTATTCATATTGAGTAATTGTGGATGGGGGGAGGGGGGGGAGCGGGAGGGGGGGGGCCAAAGAGAGTTTGACACACTAAGGTCCAACACCACCCACGCCCACGCGGCCTGTGGGATTTCAGACCTTATGCGGCCCCTCGCTTCTTGAGCGGCCGCGTGCACCTGCACGTTGTATGTGCTGCACGATGCGACTTTCGGTTCGGTTGTTCTGTGTATGCTTGCAGGCTGCTCATTCAAATCTTGAAAACCGCAAACTTGTGTAACACCAATTCAATACAATTTTTTGTCGGAATCGCTGCCGGAAGCAGTTGTACGGGCAAAGCATCACTCAAAGCGAGATGTCGGAGGTGATGCTGGAGCCCGACGTCATCCCTCCTACGGCGCAGGGGCAAGTGCGCACGAGAAGGGTCTCTGCACCGAGTGGCTCCCGAAGCGCTCCCGAAGGCGCCCGGTGCCTCTGGGCGCGCCCGGGGAGCTTGCAGGAGCGCTCGGAGAGGCCCCCAAGACGGCTCGGAGACGCCCAAAGAGGGCGTTCCGAAGGCCCCAAGACCGCTCCGAGCCGCTGAACAGGTCAACCCGACAGCCCCAAGAGGACCCCGAGCGAGCCCCAGGGCGACCCAAGAGCGCCCGAAGACAGGAGGACCCCTATGACGGCCCAAGGCGGCCCAAATCATAGATGCCCCCCAGGTTTTGAAGGATTTTTACGCTCTCGCCATGATCGCCATGATCGCCATTCTTGGGGTCAGATGACCTGGCCCCAGGAATGGCCCAAGACGGCTCCAGGACCCTGCCAGGGCGCTCCAAGCTGGCCCAAGAGGCTCCCAACAGGGTACCAAGACGGCCCCGAGACGGCCAAGACAGCCCGAAGCCGGCCCAATCGAGCTCCAAGTGCCCCCCCAAATCGGCGCGAAGCGGGTTTCAAGAAGGCCAACGCCCTCAACATAGCCCCAAGACACCCCCAAGACCAAAAGGGCCCCAAGAGGCCCTGGAGAGGCCCCAAGAAGGCCCGATGTGTGAAGCTCTGAACGCTAAGGCTTCCAAGAACGAGCGGTGACACACCACAAGCTCGGAACGCCAAGGCTCCTCAGGGTTAGTGGTGGCGCAAAAAAGCTCTTACCGCCAGCAGCAAGCAAGCATAAACCAAGCAAGAAGGCCCCGCACCCCTGTCCCACCTCGTGTGTGTGTGTGACATCCTCATGCGGTGGGGCAGGAGGGGCGGGGCGAATACGAGAAGGCGTGAACCTTGCGGCGTCGTCCGGCACAAGAGGCTTCCAATTTGATTTTCGGGCAACCCAACAGGGCTTCAAGACGGCCAAGGAGGGCTCCAAGAGGCCCCCCCATAGACCCCCAAGAGGGCCCCAAGAGGCCAACATCGCTGATTTCCCTCTGGAGGTCTCGCCTGCTCGGGCTTCCGACGCTGCAAAGCGGCCCAAGAGGCCCCGAAGATCGCCCCAAGAGGCCCAACATGCCCCCAAGAGGGCCCCCAGACGGCCCAAGAGATTCCGAAGACGGCCCGACTGGCGCCCCAAGAGGGCCCCAAGATGGGGAACTAGAACAGAGATTTCGCGCCATCCGCCCCTCCCCAATAGTACCCCCGAGACCGCCAGCAGGCCCCCAAGAGGCCCCTCAGAAGCTTAAGGAGGCCTCCAAAAGGCCCAAATCAGTCTACAATTTAAAGGCCCCCAAGAGGGCCCAGAGAGGCCCCATGAGGCTTCCGAGAGAGGGTCCCTTAGAGAGCAGCTCTATGACCACCCCGGCCACCCAAGAGAGCCCCATGAGCGACCCAAGAGGAGACCAGTTGTTCGGCCACGCGCGCCGAAGCCATTGAGACATGCGAGTGCTGGCCTCTTCTCATACCTTCCTTCTCGTTCCTTGCTCCTCGCTCCTTCCCGCTCTCTCCTCGCTCCTTGCCTTCCTCTCCTCCTTTCTGGCTCCTCTGTGCTCACTCCTCCTCGCTCCTTCCACATCTATCCTGGCCCCTCAGTTCTCCCTCCTGGCAACTGGCGTCTGCCCCCCCACCCCCCCTCCTCCTCGGCCCTCCCTCGTCCCTCATCGCCTCTCTCTCTCTCTCTCTCTCTCTCCTCGACCGTCGCTCCTTCCTCCTCAACCCGTGCTTCTCGCTGGTTGCTCTTTGCTTCCCTCATCTCCCCCGTAGACTCTCACTCCTCGCTCCTTACTCCTCGCCCCTCGCTCCACTCACAAGCTGCAGGTTGCGTCATCTAGCAAGGGTACAAAGAAGCAGCACCCGGCAGCCTCAAGCACCAACAGCGACTACCAGCAGTCCGCAGCAGGCAACGGAAGCACAGCAAAAGTAAGCAGCAGCAGCAGCAGCAGCAGCAGCAGCAGCAGCAGCAGCAGCAGCAGCAGCAGCAGCAGCGCAGCAGCAGCAGCAGCAGCAGCAGCAGCAGCAGCAACATGTCGCAGGCAGCAGCACACTGCAGCCACAGGCAGACACAGCAGAGGCGAATTTCGGGCTCGACGCTATCACGAACGTCTTTCCGCAACATCTCTGCCCTTCGGCGCGCGTCTCCGTTGGAACGTCGCTGTTTGCCGCGCGCCCCGCCGAACCCGCAGCGGCGGCGCCTCCGCGGCCACCTGCTCCGACAGGGCCCCGCGAGTGGCCCGAAGGGCCCCCCAGAGCGCCGTTCTGCAGCGCAAGAGGGCCCCCAGACGGCCCAGGGATCCCGTGTGGCCTCCGAGAGGGCCACGAGGGCGGGAAACATGCGTTTGTGATTTATGTGTTTGTTTTCCGCATGTCCTCTTGCGACCGCTTAGCTTCTCGCTTTTGTAGCCACAAGGCGTTCAACCCGCCCCGGGAAGCCTCCCCATTCCTCCAGAGGGCGCCCAGGGAGCTCCCAAGGGAGCTCCTGCGACGACCCCGGAGACCCGCGGCGGGGACTCCCAAGACGGCCGAACAGTCCCCCAAGACAGCCCCAAGGGAGCCCCAACAGGGCCAACTGGAGCGCTCTTCGCCCCCGCCCCCCCCCTCTCCCACTGCCAGTGAGCTCCCAGGACCCCCCCCCCCAGAATCTTCCAGACGGCTTCCGGAACACGCCGCAAAGGCTCTCGGAGAGCTTCTAGCAGCTCCTTCGAAACGGCTCTGACGCGCTCCTACACCCTAGATCGATTGGAAGCAACATACCCCACTGGCTTCCGGAAGGCCTCCAGCAGCTCCGTCCAAACGGCCCCGATAGGTTCCGAGAAGCACCAGATGATTGGACAAAAAGCCAAGCGCCGCACCTATTGGAACACCTCTCGCGCGGGAGGGGGTGCATACAGTAGCTGTCCGACGCAGCCGCGGATGCCCAGGAACGCTGTTTCTGCGAACCCGTCCTGCGCCGACTGCGTTTGGATTCTGTGTTTGTCTCCCGCACCGAACGTATTCCGAGATGTGTGGGGTGTGTTGTCTTGTCCAATCATATTGGGCCTCCTCCTTCTCCTCTCCGTCGTCATTCTCCTCCGCCACAGGCGCTGCTGCCCGCGGGGCCGGAGCCGAGCCGCGCGATTTCCGGGAGGGGGAAGAGGAGGACGAGGAGGAGGACAAGGAGGACGAGGAGGATGAGCAGCACGAACAGGACGGCGAGGATGAGCCAAGCCCGACGACGAGCAGGAGGAGGAGGAGGAGGAGGAGGAGGAGGAGGAGGAGGAGGAGGAGGAGGAGGAGGAGGAGGAGGACAAGGAGGAGGCGGAGGACGAGGACGAGCCAAACGCGAGGAGGAGGAGGAGGAGGAGGAGGAGGCGGATGAGGAGGAGGAGGAAGAGGAGGAGGAAGAGGAGGGGGAGGGGGAGGGGGAGGGGGAGGAGGTGGTGGACCTGCTGCTGTTGCTACTGGCCATGCCCCTGGATCTGGTATTGCTCATACTGCTAATCAGCGCTGCTCCCGGCACCCCCAGAATCATCAAGCAAACAGCGTGCACTGAAGCAATGAGTAGCAGAAAGGGGATTCTAACCTTTGGCACGCGTGGGCAGTAACCTACGAGGCAGGCATGGTCAGCTACAATGCTGGGGTCAGCGCGTGCGAGAAATGCGAGCAGTGGCAGCGGGCGCTGGCGCTGTTCGGCGAGATGTGGGAGGCGCAGGTATGGCCCAACGTCGCCTCTTTTTTCCACTGCGGCCAGAAGGAGCCGTGTACCAGAAGGGTGAGCACAGGGACGCGGCTGATGCAGGCCCTGGCGAGCTTCAGGACGCTCCCAGGTGGCCAGAGCGATTCGATATGGCCTTTCAGACGGCCCAACAGAGCCCCGGGACGGCCCAAGAGGGCTCCGAGAGGCCCCCAATGAGGGCCCCGGGAGGCACAAACAGTAGATTGTCAACGCGCCTAGTAAGGACGCGCGCCTTCATCTAGGGTGCCCTTGTGTCCTTGCCTCTGCGGCTCGTCTTTTGACACTTTCACGGGTCGCCCGCCGCCCAACAAAAACATACAAATTCAGCCTCAAGTATTTTGCGTCAGTCCCACTCGTCATCAATACACGTTTTGACTACATTTCCTGTTTCTTGTTGTGTTGAAAAAGGGGCGTTGTCGCCTTCTCGGGCTCCCGAGGGTCCTAGAGGGTACAAGATCTAAAACAGGCCCCCGAGAGGGCCCCTGGCCGCCCAGCGAGAGAGTGCCCAAAAGACCACCCAAAACGGCCCCCAGTGCGGCCCCCAAGAGGGCCCCAAGAAGAGGAACTCGACCTGAGCGACGCATGAAGGGGTCGTCTGCGCCGACATTGGCGCGCAAGCTGGCCGCATAAGGTCGCGCGTAAGCGCCCTCGTCTCCAATGTGGCGTGCCGCGCTGGCAGCCCGCGTACGCCGCCGCAGGAGGTCGCTGTGTCATCTCGCGTAAGGCTCCTTTCTGATCGTCGCTCACCTGACATTCCGCGCCTTCTGTCCGTCGCTTCTCCTTTTTCGTTCCTCTCTCCTTGCTGATCGCCCAACTCTTCTCGCCCTCGAGCTCATCGGTGGTCTAGATCCGCTGAAGTAGCGAGAAGTATCACCCTGTAGCATCAGGTGGCAGCAGCAGCAGCAGCGAACGGCAGCAGCGCGAAGCGGGCAGCAGCAGCGGGAGGACACAGCAACTGCAAACAGCAGCAGCAGCAGCAGCAGCAGCAGCAGCAGCAGCAGCAGCAGCAGCAGCAGCGGCAGCAGGCAGCAGGCAGCAGCGCGCGCAAAGCAGATTTGGCCACCAACAGCAACAACACGCAGCAGCGGTAAAGATTACGAACAGCATGCAGCAGCGGCAGCCAGTAGCAGCACGCAGTAGCATGCGCGGAATGCGAAGCTCGAGCAAGCACAGGCCAGCTCGTGCAGATTTCGTGGGCGTAGTCCACGGGTCAGCCCTGGTCGCTCCTACATTGCAGGCAAACGTGCGTCCGGAAAGTACGCTTTCTTGATAGCTCCTCCGGCGCCCCAGAGGGCCTCGGCGGGCCTTTGGGTCGGCCCCGGGCCGCTTCAAGACGTCCCAAGGCGCTCCAAGACGCCCACAGAGAGCCCCAAGAGCGCCTCAAGACGGTCAGAGACGCTCCCCAGGCTGCTCCCAGACGCCCAAGGTATTTGCAAGACGGTCCAAGAAGCCCCTAAGACACTCCAGGAGTGCTCCACGAGGACCCCCACCAGGGCTCCAAGAAATTGAAGTCGTCCAAATTCCCTTCGTCTTCACAGCGTCCGAGACGACCCTGAAGGCCTTCCACGTTACCCCATGGCGGCCCGAGAGGCCCCAAAGAGGGCCCCAAGACAGCCGAAGACGGCCCCAGGACGGCTGGAGAGGCGCCCAAGACGGCTCCACAGGACCCCAAAAGGGCCCCAAGACGGCCCAAGACGGCCCAAGACGGCCCAAGGCGGTCCCAAGGCGGCCCGAGAAGCGCCCAAGACGGCCCAATAGGAGCCCAGGCGCGCCCCAGAGGACTCCCAGTTTAAAACGAATCTGACAAGACGGCACGTCCGACCCAACATCAGCAGCACCTTGCAGCTACAAGCAGCAGCAGCAGCACGCAGCATCGGCACGTAAATAATACGAACAGCACGCGCCAGCGGCAGCAAGCAGCAGCACGCAGTAGCATGCGCGGAATGCGAAGTTCGAGCCCCACGTCATCAGGTCAGCCTTTCGGCAGCATGTCCACCAGCACAGGCCAGCTCGTGCAACGTGGACGTAGTCCACGGGTCAGCTGTACATAGTCAGCTACAACGCTGGGATCAGCGCGTGCGGGAGGGGCAAGCAATGGCAGCGGGCGTTGGCGCTGCTCGGTGAGATGTGGGAGGCGAAGCTTGAGCCCGACGGCGTTAGCTACAGTGCTGGGATCAGCTCGTGCGAGAAGGGCATGCAGTGGCAGCGGGCGCTGGAGCTGCTCGGCGAGATGCGGGAGGCGAACCTTGAGCCCGACGGCATCTCTCCTGCAGTGCAGGAACCGCTACGTGCCAGAAGGTGCTGTGTTTCAACCTTCTTCCGAACCGTCCTGTGGTTTTGGGTCCTCGTTTTGAAGAGACAGCGCCCCGCGTCACTCACTCCTCCTCTCCTCCTCCCCCTCTTCCCTCCGCCCCCTCCTTGCTTCTGCCCTCCGCATGTCTCTGTTTCGCTCTCCCCCCATGGGGAGCTCCACCGACGGCCACAGTAGCTGCGTTTGCATGTGCCCGCTGCACCCGTTTCGGCACACTCCTCACACCGGTCGTGGCCAGATACGGAGCTCCACCGAAGGTCCCAGTGGCTACGTTCGCATGCGCGCATGCGCCCGCCGCGCCAATTTTGGCATACCTCTCACACGCTTCGTTGCCCCATCGGGAGCTTCACCGAAGGCCCCACTGGCTGCGTTCGCACGCGCCCCCCGCGCCCATGTTGGCACACACCTCACACGTTTCGTGGCCTCATAGGGAGCTCCACCGAATGCCCCAATGGCAGGGTTCGCATGCGCACACCGCGCCCATTTTGGCACACCCGTTACACGTTCCGTGGCCCGATAGGGAGCTCCATCGACGGCTCCAGTGGCTGCGTTCGCATGCCCCCTCCGCGCCCATTGCGGCACACCCTCACACGCTCCGCGGCCCCACAGGGAGCTCCCTCCCAGTGGTTGCGTTCGCATGCGCCCACCGTGCTCATAGTGGCACACCCTCACACGCTCCGCGGCCCCATAGGGAGCTCCTCCCAGTGGCTGCGTTCGCATGCGCCCACCACGCTCATTGTGACACGCCCCTCACACGTTTCGTGACCCCGTATGATCTCCACCGACGGCCCCAGTGGCTGCGTTCGTATGCGCCCACCGCATCCGATTCGGCACTTCCCTCACGCGTGTCGTGGCCCCATGGTGAGCTTTACCGACTGCCCAAGCGGCTGCGTTCGCACGCGCCCACCGCACTCATTTTGGCACGCCCCTCACATGCCAAATGGCCCCATAAGGAGCTCCACCGACGGCCCCCAGTGGCTACGTTCGCATGCGCCCGCCGCGCCCATTTCGGCACACCCCTCACGCGCTTCGTGGCCCCATAGGGAGCTCGGGAGCTCCATCGACGGCCCCAGCGGCTGCGTTCGCATGCGCCCACCGCGCCCGTTCTTGACACCCCTCACGATCCGTGGCCACACAAAGGGGGCCACATCTGCCCAAGCGGCTGCGTTCGCATGTGGCCACCGCGCCCATTTTGTCGCACCCCTCGCACGTTTCATGGCCCCATACGTGGCTCCACCGACGGTCCCAGTGGCTGCGTTCGCATGCGCCCACCACGCTCATTGTGACACACCCCTCACACGTTTCGTGACCCTACGGGGAGTTCCTCCGAATGCGGTTCTCACAGCTGCATATGTTTGGGCCCTTCGCCAGGCTGATTACTTGGCCTCCGAGAAGCTCCGGGAGGCCGAACATCGCCGCATGGGCAGCTGGGACAGCTTTGCGGGCCTCGGGCCACGCCATCCATACGGCCCTGCGGTGCCCAAAGCGGGCCGAAGGGGCGCCCGAGACGGCCGCAATGGCCCAAGAGGCCCTCAATATTCCCCAAGAGAGATCCACCAGGCCCCCCAGCACACATCGAGACACAGAGCCGCGCCTGGACGGCGCATCGGCAAGAAGGACTGGCTACGTGAAACACATGTGCATTAGAACGGGATTCGTGCACAGGCGCCCCTGCAGTGCCTCGGAAGCGCACGCTGGAATTCTTTGCCCCAGCGAAGCGCGAGGGTACGCTACAGCGCGCAGGATGAGGAAGACAAGGGGGGAGGGGGGAAGGGGGGGATGGCTGAGGGATACAAACGTGCCCCAGATTCGTATCATCTGGCCCTCGGATTCGTATCATTATGAAAAGCAGAAGTCTACAACAGCTGCCTTCCATTGCCCCAGCGTTCTGCGCAATAGGGCTTGCAATCTGTCGTTTCCTGCCGCAGCCAAGGCTTGAGCGTGCATGTAGGCGTTCCACTGTAAATGCGGGCGCCCTCTGAGGCGCGGTGTGCCCCAATCCCTGGGCATAATACGGTGGTCTTGTCCAGCTTGCAACACCGTTGCTCTGGGAAGGCTGCCTGGCGGTCCCCTTGCCAGCTTACCATAAAAATCAGTTGGCGCTGCAATCAACAACTTGATAATGAGCATGCTTCCGCTGCCGCCCGCACATCAGCGTTGCTGACGCAAGACAGGAAAGCTGGCGCTACTTTGAAAATCATTCGCAAGCATTTTGCTTGGAAGCTGTCAAGTCGATCCGGGTCCGCCTTCAGTAACATGCAGGGTTCTAGCCCATATCGCAGTTTAGTGTACACGCAGTCTTGCAGCACCCGCAATATGTGCCGTCGGCTCGTATTCGCATGGCTCCACACTGCGCATAGTTTGTGGAATGCTCCGCTCGCTTCCCCCAGACGGCGTGTGAGCGCAGTCCCGGCTCCCCCATCTGCACTTAGTAATCCGCCCAGATACGCGGCATGTCGCCTCACCGTTGGGCCCCAGCACAGTATCGCTGATTCAAATTAAGACTAAACGATTTACCAATATGTGCAACTGTCGTGAAATGCTTCTGGAGGGAGGGCTGGTCTTCAGCCACGAGCACCGTGTCCTCGGCGTACAAGACGTCGTTTATGATGATGTACGGCTTGCCTGTGAAGTTGTCGCAGTCGGTTGCCCGTTTGTCGTCCACTGCTTCCAGGAGCACGGACAGAACAACGATGAACATGTATGGAGACAAAGGACACCCCTGTGCTATTCCAGATTCTTGGACTCGTTGCGAAGACACAAGAGGACCCTCTTTGACAACGAACCGCCGCACTCTGTAGATCGCCGCGATCATGTCGAGCATCGCCAAAGGCACGCCGAACTGTCGGAGTGCGAACAATAGGCCATGTGCCTTGATACGGTCGAAAGCTTTACTCCAATCCAAGAGTAAGACAAGCAGCTTCCCAAATTTATCGTCAAGGGCAGCATCCACCAGCCTGCGTGCCAAAAACAATAATTCACCAGTGCCCCTGCCTGGTTTCAATCCGTATTGGGATTCGCGTAATTTCTCTTCTGCTCCGCCCTCCTTGAAACGATGCAAGATAATGCTGGCGAGAATATGGTAGCCGACTGCTGGCAATGATATGGGTCTGTAGTTGCCCGTCTGCGACGTGTCCCCCTTCTTGAATATAGCTACCACCGACGCTTGCCGCCACTGCGCTGGAATATCTCTGTTCTGTCAGCATGCGTCGCAGAGGCCCCGTGGAATTTCCAAGCCATCACTGTTCGACCAAAGTGCGTGCCAAAGGTCGGGTGGAATGTCATCGTTGCCTGCCGCCTTTGGTACCCGAAGAGGTTTCACAGTTCGTCGCGTTTCTTCCAACGCGATACTGCCGGTTTCCATTTGCAAGCAACCATTCTCGGCAGCCATATTTGGTAGATCTAACCCACCTTGGCACACACGCCATTGTACTTGTTCGAGATACTCTGCCATCGTTCAGGCCTTTGTTCAGCATCCACAAGATTGCCACTCAAGCCGCGGAGTCTTCCAGTCGTCGCGGCTCGTCTTTTCCAGAGAGCTCGTATTGCTCTCCACCCATCTTTGTCCACTGCCTCATCTAGCCACCGTCGTCTGTCGGCACGGGCAGACATCTGGATATGTTTGCTGAGTATTTTGACCCCGCCCATGCCTGCTCCACTGTTTCTGGAAAGATCCCGTTGATCTATAAGGTGCAACGTTCTCGAAGAAATCCATGGCCGCCGTGGCGTAGCATCGTACGGTGGGATTGCAGCAGCAGCGGATTCAAGCATGCACTGTGCCACTGCAGACGCTTTTGCATCAAGATCTCTATGTTCAGGTTGTTGCCTCCAGTTTTCCACGGAGCCCTCTGCGCACTTGCAGGCAGTGCTGACATTGAGGAGTTCTGCCATGTTTAATCGAGTTGGGCGTTGGTGATGGTCTGCTTTTGGTATGCTGATGTCCAAATCCACGATTGAGACGAAATGGTGGGACTGCAATGCTCTCCAGCGGTCGCTCCAAGCATTTACAATAAAAGAAGCCCAGTTTTGTGCAACGATAACGTGGACTAGCTGCTCAGAGGGGCCCGGCTGGATGTCGCTGGCGGGGTGCACCCCGAGATCGTAATAGGTGATTTTGGCCTCAGCTCCCGTGTTGAAGAATGTATTCGCGACGCAACCCTCCATGCCAGTGCAAGGCTCCAGCAAAAACTCTATCAGATGTCGGCTTCCATGTCCCCTGTGGGTTCTCAAACAAAAATTGTCCCAGAATTGCCTGCTCTCCTGGGTATTGCCGTAGCAGTCGAGCATTAAAGTCTCCGAGTAACACGGTAGGCCCATGAGATTTCCAGTTGACTGTAAAGCGCAAGAGGTCCGTGAAGAAGTCGTGCCGGATGTCGTACGGGTGTTCGTTCGTCCACGCGTATGCCGTGACGATCGTGAAGAATTCTTCTTGCACCCAGAGGCGGAGGCTGGCCATCCGATTATCTTGGAGAAGCTAATATTTGACAGCATGGCGTCTCCATGGCGCAATTATGAACCCGATTCCTTCGTATTCTCTGCCCTCGCCCTCCGACCCGCAGAGAATGATGACATAGATGACATATCCTTCGAACGTAAACAGTTGCGAACCACGCCAATATGTCTCTTGGAGACATAGTACACTGATGTTCAAACTGCACCATGTGTCGTATTAATTCGTAAAGCTCATACGGCTGCTCCGAGTTGATGCCTTCGACATTCCAGGTAGCAATACGGCCGCATTCGACTGGCCAGCATGGATATGTTTCCCATTTGCCCGTCGATGCCTCCCAAAAGGTGCCGATGCGCCGTCGTGACCCCTATTCGGGATGCGAGCCACCTTTCTTAACTTTCTTACCCTTCCCACCGCCCTTCACGGCGCGTTGCAAAGCATAGTTGGCACGTTCGGTCAGGGGGGCTACTTCCGCGCTGCCCGCGTGGCTTGCCCAATCTGCCCAAAGGCCCTGCCATTCAATTTGCAGAGCGGGCTTGGAATCACGCACACTCACCACAGGCTCCTTAGCAACTTTGAGTTTCTGC